TTGATGATTTATAATACAAAAGTCACGAGTGATTTAATTTAAAAAGGATGAGCTTTGTGTTTCATGCGCTCGTAGGTCTCGTGATTTGAAAATTAGTTGCTTCATTGTAAAATAGCAAAAATGAGCAGTATTGTTGAGAGTAAATCCGTGGGCAAATAATGTGTTTCAAGAAAATTCTTTATTACGTAGGATAATATTTATTTATTTATTCTTTTTTTTGGTGAAATAGTCTTTTATGTGTATTGGAGTTCAACAATATATTTAATTAAAGGTTTGTTTTTTTAGATGATTTAAGTTATAACTTAAATTCTGTGAGAGAAAAACATGCTCGAATTTAACACTGATATGAGTCATTTTACGTAACTTAACAATGATTGATCTCGTTGATAGTTTAAAATACAAAAATCACGAGTGATTTAATTTAAAAATGACGAGCTTTGTGTTTCATGCGCTCATAAGTCTCGTGATTTGAAAATTAGTGACTTCATTGTAAAATAGCAAATATGAGCCAGTAAGAGTAAATCCATGGGCAAATAATAAGGTGTTTCAAGAAAATTCTTTATTACGTAGGATAATATTTATTTATTTATTCTTTTTTATTTTTGGTGAAATAGTATTTTATGTGTATTAAAGTTCAACAATATATTTAAATTAAATTAAATTTAAGTTTTATATGTGAGAGAAACATATTATAATAAAAAAATTAAATTTAAATTTTTATGATAAAAAATATTATAGTAATATGACTTAAATCATCAAGAATATATCCTGATGTGTACGCTGTTGAACTTGAGTACGATAATAACGTTAATTTAGGATGAAAAATGCGCCACATAACAAAGACACGCAAGAGAGATATACATTGTGCAACCTTGAAATACTTACCGTTTAGTTCGTTGATTCGAGTTGAGATATGACGTTATGTGAAAATTTTTTACTATAGTAAAAAAATTAGATGTGACTGTTTTATAAAATTTTTACTGTAACAAAACTCAAATTCTAAAATCGAATCGGTGAAATGACCGTGACCCTATTAAAAAGCCTTTTATATATGAGCACATACACGGCAGACATTCTAGAAAGTATGAAAATGAAAAAGTACTAATTAAGCATAAAGCAGAGTAAGCAGAGCCGTTCAAATTCAGTGGATCACAACAGAACAAAATGAACAAAACATATATAAAAAAAAAAAAAAGAGCACATAAACAATTAAAAAAAGTTTAATGTATGAATTTAAAATTAAAATTAAAATTTATTTTTAATTTATGTATATTTTTTTATAAAAAATATATTATATTAAATTTGCATAAAAGTTTAAGAGGTGGTGCTGCTTCTATCACACTGCTTCAATTGCACATGCGTCCCTTCCACGAAAATGGTGACCCGTCCAAGATAAGAAGGCCCTGCCCATAACGGTCAGGATAAGCCATTCAATCCGGCCGTCCATCCCCCTCATCTGCCCTAATTGGGTCCCACCAATGATTTACGACTCAGAGATCCAATGGCTTACCTCCGCCGCCATCAATTTCGACCACCATACCTAGTTATGATAGTCGTCTACAATTGACCCAAAAGGCAACACATATACAAGTCGATGACGTTATAACCATTTATCCTTAATTTTTTTTATTTTTCTCTCTTTTAAAGGAAATAAATCACACCAGCTATCACCTTCACCAGCTGCACCCAAACTTCGTATTCACACCAAAACCAATATATATATATATCTTTTTTAAGGGATAATCTATTGATTAGCTGTATTGGTCACGTCTCACGTGCAACGGAAGAATATATAGTAATTTTTGTACCACAAAGGCCCAAGAGTAACATGTTTAAAGTCTCGTTCACCTCGCGGATTTGAGTTTTTAATTTGAATTGAGATGTTACATTATTTAAAAATTTTTTACTGTAGCAGAAAAAATTAAATGTGACATTTTCTAAGTATTTTTTACTGTAAAAATTTAAAATTAAAAATTCAAATTGATAAAATAAATGAAACTTCATAGGCATAACGTGGTTGTTTTAAGGCTGTGTTGATGGGTCAGTTGAAGCCACGCACGTCCACCCAAATTTGAAATTGCTGTGTCTGAAAGTACAAAATTCCACGTCCAACATTTCAGGATTTTTATTTCACAAACCAAACACATGGCCGGGTTTGAACTACAAGAGGTCAACTATAAGTTGTGGCTGCCAATAGTAATTAACTTGTCGTTTTATTTATTCTGAAACTGAGTGTCTAATGAATCAGAAATATATTGGGTGCGTTTAAAATTTATTTTAAAATGATTTTATTTTTTATATAAAAATGTGTTAATTTATAAATTCATCTTAAAAACGTAAATTATTAAGAAGTTGACTAATAATAATTTTATACTTTAACACTCATTTTTATGTGTGGACTGGACAATGAATAATTATGTAGATAAATTAATTGAAAAGACCAACACGTGAATATTTAAACCTGAGATATATTAAAAACTCAACACATTATGACAATTTTAAATGGGGATAAAGAGTGCAATTACGGAAGTTTGAACTAATGACTCCCCTCTCTGGTACTATGTTAGTTTATCAATCAATCCCAAAAGCTTAAACTATTAGAAAGTAGGCCAACAATAGTTTTATACTTTAACAAAATGTTTTCAATTTCAGATATAAATTATTTTTGAAAATGCATTTGGTAGTTTTATCAAGAGATTATTTTCAGTATAAAAAATTTATTAATGTCTTTCTTTCTCTCTGTGCTCGATAGAGGAGAAAACGGAAACAAAAAATGAAAAATGACTAAAAGTCATTTTTCATTTATCTTCCATTTTACACTAAACTAAAAAATCATTATCATTTCTATTTTTTGTCTTTAATTGTGTCAAACGTTATTTCTCTCATGTTTTCATTTTTTCTTTCTCAAAAAACGTGAAAAACAAAAATAAAACCAATTCCAAACATGTCCATCTTTTCTGTTGTGACGATTGTGTTCTTAAAGACCATAGAATCTGTTGTCTATTCGACCCCAAATGTTAAGAGTTATAATCGAGAATATTCTAAGTTCCTGTTTGTTTTGCGGATTTAAGTTTTTAATTCGAATTGATATTTGACATTTTCTAAAAATTTTAACTGTAGCATAAAATATTAGGTGTGATATTTTATGAGAGTTTTTTAACTGTAAAAACCTATGACTTAAAACTTAAATTGGTGAAATGAACGAGACCTTAAATATTCTGTTATAATTGGTTATAGGATTTTGGACTTTCTATTGTCGCCTGGCAATTATCTTGCCAGATTATAGTTTAGGAACACGACTAGTGGTGGCACAGGTACCAGGCATTTAGATCCGACATTGTTTTTGTGTTTAAGAAGTTCCATGTTAGTTTGAGAAACAAAATAGCATTTCGTGGACGAAAATCGTTCGGTACGTTGATGGCTAAACTTTTATGGCCAGCGACAGAAAAAGATAGTTACACAAATTCGATTTGATGGCCGAATAGACAACGGAATTTGTGTCGTTTTTCTCTTGGTAAATTGATCATCCAGTGAGAAATATTGGCCATTCGTTTGACATATTTTGTGTGTACTAAATTTGATATAGATTCTTAATTCAAACTATAACTCAAAATGTGTATATTTAAATTAAAATTTTAATTTAAATCATACTCAAAATATTTTAATTTAAATTAAAATTAAAATTTAAATCACTCAAAAAATACAAATGGAGAGCCATTTATTTCTCAAAGGCAATACATCTTTTCTATATGGGATAAATCCATAAAGCATGAATTAACAGTGTAGGTGTGCTTTGAACAAAAGGACAAAAATATCACGTGTTAGAAAAAAACAATTCTCACCGGCTGCAGGCAGCAACTAAAACAAAATATAAACTTTTTTTTTTTTTTTTGGCGGAAAACACAAAATATAAAATTTACTCTACAGAAAGGTCACAACTCACAAGTGATCCCAAGCCTACAACTTTTTTTTGTTTTGTTTTTTTTTTTTTTTTTCCTTCACAAGAGCCTTCCTACAGCCGAGCTTTCCCACCTATTAATCCCATCGTCATATTGAATCCTTTATCATACCACAATCCAATCGTGCGACGCGGATCGTGTGCAGAAAATTATAAGGTGTGTTTAGAATTTGTTTTAAAATAATTTTATTTTTTATATGAAAATAAAAATAAAAATATTTTTAATTTTAAACAGAAATTATTTTTAAAAATGCGTTTAGTAATTTTATCAATAGATTATTTTTAGTATAAAAAAATCTATTAATATCTATATCTTTTTCTCTGCTCGAGAGAGGAGAAAACGAAAATAAAAAAATAAAAAAACGACTAAAAGTCATTTTTCATTTCTCTCTCATTTTACACTAAATTAAAAAATCATTTTCATTTCTGTTTTTTGTCTTTATTACACCAAACGTCATTTTAGAAACATTTTTATTTTTTCTTTCTCGAAAAATGATAAAAATAAAAACGAAATCAATTTCAAATACGGCCATATGGTCTCAGGATTTCCCTATATATATATTAATATCATGAGACTTTCTCTTGTGTTTCTTATTTTTTAGGAACACTGGTGTTATTTATTTATCAACCGTCAATTATGTATTAAATTTGATTAAAAGTCAAATAAAATTAAAGGTAATACAAATACGACGACTGATAAATAGAAAACACCGATATTTTAAAAAAATAGAGAATACTAGAGAAATTCTCTAATATCATAACAAAAAACTGAAAATATCCTTAAAAATTAAGACTTTCTCTGGTAGGCTGTTGATAGTGTGGGTGAGTGTTAAATTGAATTAAAATCACATTAAATTAAAAAAATACAAAATATATGATTTTAATATAAATTTAACCACTAAAAAGTAAAAAACTCCCCTAAAAATTTGTTAATTTATTTTTCTCATTTTTATTTCGGGAACTCAACCGCAATAGACATATATATATATATATATATATTTCTCTCTCCCTGTCCTCCTCACCTCACCGGTTAGGAGGAAATTTCTTTCTGACGTGGTCGGGCTCTGTCAACTCTATCCTTCTCGTTCCCATCCCTACTCTTTCGGGTCTTATTATAAATCCTCATTTACTCCCATCTCAAGCCTTCAAGCATTATCCCTATCCGGTTCGCTTACAAGATCTTCTCCAACTTTAGCATTTTTTTTTCTGGATAATCTCCTATTTTTCAGGTAAAGATATTTCTTTTCCCTTTTTAACCTTTCCAATTTCTCTATTGTTTCTGTTTTTATGGGGTTTCTGCTTGTATATTTTAGCTCGAGATCTATAACATTTCCAAATCAAAATACTCTTCCCTGGAGTTCTATCTTCACTTTTGCGATTTTTTTGGGTTCATTTTCGTGATTTTGTCATAATCTGGTTTATACTTGTACTGCTTGAGCTAACAATGGGCGTGGAATTTCTCTTTCATTGTAAAGTATTTGTATTCTCAGATCACAAAACTTAACAAAGGTAGCTATAAAAGTTTGGATCATTGTTCAACATTTTTGTGTTGCCGTAGACTTGGAATCTGATAATTAGATCTTTGATTTACTATCTAAAAGTGGTTTTAGTTTTAGTACGCACGAACTGAGATTTATGTATACCAGCTAGCTTATGAAGTTGTGTTTTTTTTTTTCCTTCGCTGATGAGAGATTTCGCTTCTTGTTTCTTTGTCTTTTACTGGAATAGGATTGGTATTGTCTAACATAGTTTGACTTCAGACGCTTATGTTAACGGTTCATATTTTCTGTTCTATCATTTCTTGATTAATTTTATTGATTTCCGATATGCTTGTTTTTTGTTTTAAATTCCGAATTTTCTGAATGGATTTTAGATCGACTTAACTTCAAATTTGGAGATTGATGATATACTATTCGCTTGTGTATTGGTAGCTGAATTTTTTAACTGAAAGAAGAGCACGGTGAGATTAATAAAATCACTCCTTTGAAAACATAGTCAAATGTCATAATTTTAGCTCGTCCTACCAATTTTGTGGATAATCCTGTTATTTCTATCATAGTATGGCGATCACTGAGTTGATTTTTTATTTTTCTCATGGATGAAAGTATAGGTGAAAATGGATGTTTCAGGTGGCTAAAACCAGGTTATATGGCATTGATAGGTATGATTTCTGAAACCTCTCAAAGTCCATGACTATAAATAAGGTATATTGCCTTTTTGTGTGTATATATAGTTATGCAGTATTTGTTTTTGTAGATATTTGGGAAATGTGTGGAGGAGGATTCGGTACTAGCGGCTTAAGAAACATTCCGTGTAAAAGAACAGGGAAAAATTATTCTAAGAGCAGAACCTGTGGTATGGAATTTGAATCAGACTGGACAAAACACGAGAAATCGATGGCATTCACCGGTGAGGTGATCCGTTCTGCAACATGTTTTATGCCTTGGTCTTGTAAAATCCCTATAGGTGATGGCTATCACGAATTCCTTTAATCAAAATTGTCATCGTAAATTATTGATTCATCGTCTGAGTTGTATTACGGATCAAGGACGAGGAAGCGTCTATTGATCTAAATGCCTCTTGATCTAATTACCTGCTCAATCCAGAAAATGCCAGGTGTTGTGACTGAAAAAAAGAGATTTAGAGAACCGATTATGAGTTTATTTGATTCACTCAAACAGGATGCTTTAGTCCGCTCGAAAAGTTATTCTAGTTTGGCTTCTCAACTGCCAGACGATTATAACAGCCCCATTCTTCCTGGGCTGCCCGACGACGTGGCAAAATTGTGCCTTGCGCTCGTACCTCGTTCCAACTTCCCAGCTATGGGTGGTGTGTGCAAGAAGTGGAGGTCCTTTATTCAAAGCAAAGAATTTATCACTGTGCGGAAGTTAGCCGGGGTGCTTGAGGAGTGGCTTTATATCTTAACTATGGATGCTGAAGCAAAGGAGAGCCACTGGGAGGTTTTGGACTGCGTGGGGCACAAAACTCGTACTCTTCCTGCTATGCCTGGTCCGTCTAAATCTGGGTTTGGTGTGGTTGTTTTAAATGGAAAGCTTCTTGTGATGGCGGGCTATTCAGTGATCAATGGAGCTGTGTTTGCATCGCCAGATGTTTATCAATATGATTCTTGCCTAAACAGGTTTGTTCTCTGTTATTGCTCTGCACGACTTGGGAGTTCATTTCTTCTTTAAAATGCATCTATATGAAATTTACATATTCTATTCCAAGTTTCATGTTGCTTCTACCAAGAGAGGCCAAATCAAGCACGCATTATTTTGCGAGTTTTGTGAGACATTATTTTTACTTGCAGCTGGAGCAAATTAGCAGACATGAATATTGCTCGATATGACTTTGCTTGTGCAGAAGTGAACGGAATGGTTTATGCAGTTGGAGGCTATGGGATGGACGGTGATAGTCTATGTAGTGTTGAGGTGTACAACCCCGAGAAAAATAAATGGGAGCTTATAGAGTCTCTTCGCCGCCCCAGGTGGGGTTGCTTTGCTTGTGGATTCGAAGGAAAGCTGTATGTTATGGGTGGAAGGTCGAGTTTTACTATTGGAAACTCAAAGTTTGTGGACGTCTACAACCCTGAGAGGCACACTTGGTGTGAGATGAAAAAAGGCTGTGTCATGGTCACTGCTCACGCCGTGGTAGGGAAGAGGCTTTTCTGCATGGAGTGGAAGAACCAGCGGAAGGTCGCAATTTTCAATCCGGTAGACAATTCGTGGAAGATGGTTCAGGTCCCATTGACGGGGAGCACTAGTATCGGTTTTCGATTTGGAATATTGGACGGCAAACTCTTACTATTCTCACTGCAGGAAGATCCTAGTTATCAGACTCTGTTGTATGATCCGAACGCAGCCCCCGGGTCAGAATGGCAGACTTCCCAGATCAAGCCTTCTGGTTCATGCTTGTGCTGTGTTACAATCAAGGCTTGAAAGCCCGGATGCTAGTTTATCTCTATATTTGCTCAAGGTCTTGGATTGACCAAGAGAACTTTTATTCATACTTCATGTTTAACCTTTTAGTGTTTCAATTTTCTTTTGTTGCGTAATTTGGTTTGTGGATACTCTATAATAAACGTTTATCGCCTTTGGTTGTAAACTTATATGATTGGAATACTGGATAAAGTATTCTTACCTAAAGAGAGCACCGTTAGCTTTCATGTTTTAGATTCTCTCATTTTTCTTTCCGTCGAAGACTAAGGTAAATTTTTTCTAAATTAATATTATTGGCAAAGTAACATCAGATCTTAAATTCAATTCAAACAGGCAGTAATGGATTATGAATTAAAAAGGATAATTTGAATTATTTAAATTGAATTAAATAGTTCAATTATAATTTTTCTGCAGTACATCCTAGTATGGTGTTTCATAAGGCTTTGGCTCGGGGGATATAGAAAGAAATTTCAGTTTGAAAATAATAAAATCAAGGGAATATTTCTAATATAATAAAAAAGAGAGGAATATCAAGGGAATATCAAGGATTTGTGACGTATGAAATTTCAATGTTCAATTTTCTATTGTCTTAAAAACCTTTAATTTACTAGATTCTCAAAAACAAAAAAAAAAGTTCAATTTACTTAAAAGATTGTACAATTCTTTAGCGGAAAAATGTTAAAATTAGTTCTTGAAATTACTCAAAAAAAAAAAATCATGAAAAATTACTGGAAAGGTTAACAAAAACTAAATTAATTGATTAAATATTTTTGATTAATTAATTGATTGATTATTTACTTTATTCTTTTTTAAAGAGAAATTTAGAGAAATGTCCTTGGAGGTGCATAAAGATTTTACTGTGTTTTTTAATACTATAAAATTTATTCCCATACTTTCTCCTTTTATATACTAACTTGGACGTGTAGCCTTTAAAAAAAAAGTATATAATTAGACTAAAAAAGTGAATTAGGGTAAATTTTCTGATTTTCTCCTTTTTAAGTTTTTTTGATTGGAAATTTTTGTTGTAAAAATTATATTACATGGTATGTTTAGAGGAGTATAATTCAAATAGAACAATTTTGTAAAACTTTAAGATCAATTGACTACTTTTTTAGAATATTCAAAGAATAACATAACTAAGTACCAATGATTATAGTTATTTTTATATTTCATAGTACAAAATTATTAACTACAAAATTATTAGGGCTCTTTACACATATAATAAAATTGTTAGATTAAATGGTAGAGTTTAAATATTAGTAAAATTTTTAAAATATTACAAGAATGATAGCATTTAATATCACTAAAATAATGAATATCACTATATAGTATAAAATATAGTATCATTATGATAATGATTATGTCATTTTTGTTATGTATTTATAATATTATGAAAATTTTGTTAAATTTTCACCCAAATATGAAATTTTGTCATGTAATTATCTGCGTGTTACACCAAGCCCAGATCAAGAGAGCACAAAAGAAGCCCACTATTTGAACTGAAGGCCGAACACAAAAACTAGTCAAAATCACTAAACGCGCCTCAAGCGGGCGCGGTACACAAGTTGAAAGAAACACCGAGGGGTTTTATTTCGTTTCTCTGTGTGTGTGTAAAATCTAATCTCTCATCACCAAACCCAAAAATGTTCGGCACTCCGTCGTCGACGCCGGGTTTTGGAACTCCGTCGTCGACACCGGCTTTTGGCACTCCGTCCTTGACGCCGGCTTTCGGAGCGTCGGCCTCTACTCCAGCCTTCGGCACTCCGTCGTCGACACCAGCCTTCGGCACTCCGTCCTCCACTCCGGCGTTCGGCACTCCGTCATCCGTTCGGGCGTTCGGAACTCCGTCATCCACTCCGGCGTTCGGAACTCCGTCGACGCCTTCTTTTGCCACCGGCGGCTTCGGCTCCTTGCTCTCCACTCCATTTTCTTTGCAGACTCATCAACAGCAGCAGCAGCCGCAGCAGACCTCATTGTTTCAGCAGCTGCCGTCCACCGGTGGTTTTGGCTTTCCGACTTCGCTCGCAACGGTGCCTCAGATTTCTCCCTTCCCTACTTCGCAACTCACAACTCAAATGGCTCCTGTCGCTCCTATTCCTTTCTCTCTCGCCGATCGCGATATTCAAGTTAGTATGGTCCTCAAATTTTTTCGAAACGCTAGGGTTTCCTCCTTTTGTCTTAATTTTCTGTACTCGATGTGCGATTTGGAACTTCTCTGTTCTTGTAATCTGAGTTAGGTTATCGCGACTTTGGAAACCCTAGGTTTGTTCATCTTTGTCAGATTTGATATGTCAATCGTAGTTTCTGTAGTTTTGTAGCATGACTTACTTTCTTTCGGAACCCTTGAGGTTTATTTCGTTTGGTCCTAATTTTCTATGTAATTAGGCGATTGTTGAGGCTTACAAGGAAGATCCTGGAAACCCTAAATATGCCTTCAAGGTGCGTTTTTATAGTTTATGTCCTTTCTTGTCTAGAGCTTATTGCACACGGAAATCCCCTCGTGTTTTGCATTCTATGCTCTGCTTTCTTCCTTTGATGCATTAATTCGTGTGTTGATTTTTGCAGCATTTGTTGTTCAGTGTAACTGATCCGCAGTTTAGGGTGAAGCCGGCTGGTGTATCAGATGTGAGTTTATTCTCTTCCGTTCCTTCTCTGGTATCTGGTGATACTCATTTTACTTTGAGCGTTACTTATCCTTGGCTTTCAACTAAATCCGGTGATTAGTTTGCTATGCCAGATCATGTGGGCAGAGGCTATGGGGAAGCTTGAGGGTATGGAAAGTACGGACAGAGAACGTTTATGGCCTCAGCTTGTTCATGGTTTTAAGGATCTTTCACAGCGTTTAAAGGTACTATTGTTAGTTTGAAGCATTCATATGCCTACTTCTTTGTTTTGTAATTTGTGTGTTGCTTTTGTCGTTGATTTGGAATACTAAGCATGATTGAATGGTGCTTTTGAACAATGATAACACGTATTTGTTATCCATTTGTTTTTTTTTGTTTTTTTAAACAATAAGTATAAATCTAAACCTGAGCTTCACTTAATGTATATTACTGTGTACATTGATATTGCTTGTTGATACCTAAAATATGCACGTGTAGTCAATTTGTGCTTTTGTGTGTTACTTGAAAGGAAGTTGATTGATATGCAATTGCCAAAAGTAAGAAATTATCCTGATTGTCTTTCTGTAGTTGTGTTACTTATGTCAATAAGTAGCCGTACTTTAACAACAACAGCGCATGTTAATATATTAGCAATGATACTATATGGAGTTCTCATTTCCTGATCACAATTAGCTCGGCTTGAGATTGCTTGATATTTTGCACTCCTGATTCTCTCTCTAAAAATATTATTGTATGCGATTTAGTAGTTGAAGGAGACTACCTAATGGGGAGATGTGGAGACCTCAAAAGCAACTAACAACCTACTTTTTGGTTGCCTGTTTTGCATTAAATCATAAGACAAACAATAGAAAAATACTAAATGTAGACATATACATCTATGGGCATGGTAATATTTCTGCTAGTTCTGTAACGTTGGAACTTCACTTTCCTAGACCTTACATGCACCAGTTGCAACCATAGCTAGCTATGATTATGATAAGCACGAACAAAGTCTAGCAATTTCCAGTCAATATACTTCTTGTATTATGCACAACGAATTACAATCAAGCTCTACGAGCTAAATCAATGGCAGAAAATTACAGAACTATGGAAACTATGACCTAGGTATGGGGGTGTTCGAGTGACCCCGTGCACTCCCAAATTCTAGATGATCACAGAAATTACCAGATCCCTCCCAGAATCCCCCTCTCTTGCTACTTATACAATCCTCATTCCCGTAACTAACTTTCCCCCCTAATCCTACCGAGAAACCACTAAGCATGCCAGCTCACACACCACTTGCCAGCTCAGTTTCTTGCTCTGCCAATACATCCACCTGCCCACTGTTATTTCCCGTATCTGCCACTCCCCTCTCCCGAGCCTTCCTCCTCACATAAGTAAATCGTAAAGGAGGCTTATCAGATTACAGTGGTAACTACTAACTATTAGTAATACTGTGTATATTTGCTGGGAAAAATATATGCATGAGAATGTTCCCTGTACTGGCTATGCAAAAAATGAAGAGTGGATTTGTAGAAATATTTTAACCAAAAAAAAAAAAAGAAGCAGACTTGCTGTTTTCATTTTTGAGTTGTGTGGGCAACCAGCCTATTTGCAATGTCACATCTTCAGAGGTTTTCCTTTAAGGTTTTGCTTTCCTTCTTGTTATCGTCATCTCTGAGTGACCCACCTACTTGTTGGATTCTGAAGTTCTGTCTATGTTGTTTCAGCTCCAAGATGAAGTTTTTCTTTCAGATTCTGAGAGATTGAGAATGACCCAAAGCAATGTGAAGATGGTATCCATTCACTGCTTCTGTTGTGTATCTACTGCCTGTTAATATAAACGTACGTCTTATAATTTTTTTTTTTTTTTTTTTTTCACATATTCTGCAGCTTCAAAGGCACTTTCAGGCAGACACTGTACCACGGATTGAAAGAATGAGACAGAAAGAGCAAGGTCTTCAACGGCGCCTTTTAAGGGTGGGACAATTTATGGTCTATGCTTGAGATTACTCAGTTGTTTTTGTGCACTAGAGCTTGCTTATGTTGTGTTTAATTTATCTTACTTGTGTTAAAAGGTAATGAAAATACTGGAGGCACTAGAGGGAAAGGGTTGCCGACTACCCTTAATGAAAGGAGAAGCTGAACTGGCCGAGAAATTAGCTTCAGTCACTAGACAGGTAGCCAATTTTTGTCCTTTTATCTTTTCTTTGATGCGTTAATAGTTCTTATCAGGCGATGTTACTGAAAAACCACACACTTTTCTCTTTCTAGTTGAAAGGATCTGGTGCTGAGCTTTCTAGAAGGGTACAAAACTTGCTCACGATATCCCGTGTTCAAGCGAATTCTATTGTTGGTGGTGGTTCTCTTTATCTTCCTGGATCAACCAAAATACATGAACAGAGTCTTGCTGATATGCAAGAGGTATTTCTTGAAGGCTTTCTATTCTTTAGTTGTTTTTTGTGATAAGAATGTTGTAGTTGTGCGCTACGAATAAAATTAGAATGATGAGCAATCCTTTTTGTGGGGCAGGTCTTACAACAGCAGACGGAGGCAATTGCAAGACTCGGGAATGTTTTGAAGCGAGATATCAGGGACATGGAGATTATGATGGCTGAAGACAGAAATGACTGATGATGTAAGCTAAAAGACTAACTTCCATCATCACCACTTCCTTTTTGTGTTTTGAGTTCGACTTTGATAGGAGATAATTGTTTTTATAGCGGAATTGTTTTGTGCTGGCTCTACATCTACAGCAGTGCGTGCTGGAACGCTCATCTTTTGTTTTTTGTTTTGTTTTTTATTTTTGCTTTTAAGATCACAAGATTCACAACTCTACTCGTGTAGAAACTAGAATTGTTAGAGCACAGATACAAGCAACTGTTGGTGGACTAAGTAGCCATGGGCTGGGCTGAGAGCGGTATCATGAGGCCTCGCAGAGTAGCTTCAATGTATTTGGATGCATTTCCAACGTAAAAAATTTCACTCTTTTAAACGTGTAATTTTTAAGAAATTTTTTGACCTTTTTCTTAGATACGGAATCGGCCTGGTAAATAATTCCATAAAAATTAAGGCAAGACGCCTGATTTCTAAAAAAACCGAAAGAAAAAAAAAGAGATAAGAAAAAAAAAGGGAAGAGGAGAAATACCCCTAGTATCCTTTCGATGTTTGGCTTACAAATATTTGCTCATTGATTTCTAGTAAATATATTAATTAAAAGAATATTAATCTGAGCGTAAAAATTTAGATCTATAGTGAGGGTAAGAAAAAGAATTGTGGCCCATTCTATCCTCCAGAAGTCCAATAAGAGCCTACATTTGGTTTGTAAAGCCTCGTATATCGACCTTGTTTCTCGCTATGCGTCACATCGTTAAATAGCGAATGGGCCCATTGGGATTAGCAATGGCCCAGTATAAGTACACGTTGGGCCAGAATAGTATATGTTGGCCCATTAATAACAATGGGCCCAGTTGTGATTGTAACAGCCCGGCAAGAGTTTGTGTTGGGCCTTTTCACTATGCTATCATGGAACTATGTGAGAATTTAATTTTAAAAAGAAAAGTAATTTTGAATTTTTAAATATGTATGAGTGTCTTAATAAAAACTTGGGGTGTCAATAAAATTTCCCCCTTCCCCAATTTGATCATTATTGGACTCCTTCTGGCCAACTAAAAAGTTCTACTTTAGGCTTCGTATTCGCAAATATCGACCTAGTAATTGATGTCAATTCTAGGATTACCAGCCCTCTTCGTGAAAAAAAAAAAACGTCTACCTCATTTGGCAGGAAAGTATCCCCGTATTGCCATCGTTCATTTATTTTACACAACATTTGGAAGTAGTGACGAGGTCTAACTTTCACCATATGCTTCTCCCATCATCAATAGCACGAGAGACGTCCAACCAGTGAAAAGCCGCGCCCCTTTTCCCTTGCCGTTCCTCTGATCGTATTGTTCAAACAAAAAGCCAGTTTGGTGATATTTGCGAACCACATTTCTGCAGCAAATGGACAACGAAATTCAACAAACCTTTGAAGAAGGCTGTTAAGCATTAACAATTAACAGGCAAAATCTGCGAGGGAATAGTACCTAATCAGATTGCCCCGCAAGTCATCGTAGATGGTTCTCGCTCTTTCTTTAAATGGTCCATCCTCTGGAACAAATCGAACAATAAATTAACGCAGAACCATGTAATTTGTTCGACTTTTTTCCTTATTTCTGAGTCTTTACCTTTAGAGTAATGGTCAAGTGCTGACAGAATCAAGTAATTCATTTGCATCCAAATTGGACCCCTCCAATAAGGAGGGTCATGCTCTGTGTTGCGTTTCATGTACAAGGAGCTGTAGACAAGATGCATAATTTATATTAAGCTAAAATCAAGAGTCTTGAGCAGTTAGTGGACATTACCCATGTAGAACTCATGCTAACCTTGTTTTGGCCAGAGATCGGATACCAAAATCAGTCCATAAGATACTTCTATTTGATATAAGGTCAAGTTGTTTTCCCAGAATCGATGATTCCTGTGTCATTGATAAATACAAGAAATTTATACTCAAAGCAAGACAACAAAATGAGACAAGGAAAGAAAGATGTCCTCGTATGTTCATATCCTCATGCTGAAATAAGTATAGTCAAATCATTTAGCAAAACAGATTACACGCAACTTACAGGTGGAATGAGCCTCCTCATGAACGGGAAAAGACTGACATAGCCAATGTGAGGAACCAGTCTCAATTGAGGGTTTTCTAATACTTCGCGAACAAACTCTCGACTTGCATAATTGTTTCCAACGTTTATTTCTTTCTGACTTAAACGAACCTTAGAGAACCAAATGGAAAAGCATATAAAAAGGGGGAGAGGATAATCGTCTTATATAATAGTGCTGTAGATAATAAATATAGCGAGCCAACAATACACTGTACGACATTAAATTTGTATGTATCACGTACAGTGTATCAGAAAATATTAGAATATAATACAAACAGGCTAATAAGATTCAGTTAAAGCAGGTCATTTTCTTATAAAAAAATCTTGAAGCAGAGAATGAAGAACATGTCTTTTAAGTGCTTTGAAATGACTGAAATGATATACACTTCTCAGGATCCAAGCCAGAAGACGTCCATTTCTTGGGAGGGAAAAATGAGGAAAATGAATCGAAACCCATCAAGAAGCAGTTATAGAACCTATTAACTAGACGGAGTTCATGCTCCTGCTCATTCAAGAAGAAAAGGCTTCCAATTCTAGGATGAGAAAAAATGTACAAGCAGGGAATACCTTCTCTGTATGGTAACCGAAATCAAGATATGCTCCATATTCATCATCAAAATGCATCTGTTTAAGCATCAAGCACAAATGAGATTAGCCAACTGCTCTATTAGTGATTATCTGCTCCAATCTAGGTACACATATGGAAACATGTGTGCTACACCCTTCAATAAACATATATATCACGATGGTATGGGAAACGGAGCCCACAGATCTAAATATAATGAAATGCCAGGAACCTAAATAGAATATAACTAAAATCAGTAACAGTGGACAGAGAACAATAAATTGAAACGAACCTGATTTAGAATTTCAAAACCTGAAAGAAGCTTGGCTGTGATACCATAATCCTGCATTATTTTATGATAAAGGTTCAGCAACATATATTCTGGTATCTCTTACAACCAACTTTAATCGCCTTAGGCCCATACCTTTCCTTCGGTTTTCTTCCCAAGCAGCTCAGTAATGGAATGCATGCAATCTGCTGCAAGATGCATCCAACATCTAAGATCCACGTGCCGTTCATCCTCAGTTGGGTGTGAAGCACGTGGATAATCATCCAGCCCAGAAGAAAGTGTCTGGAGATGAACAGAATACCAACAACAGTTTATTTACTCTTCATAAATAAAGCTTTAGCAATCCAAATAATAAGAAGGAATTGATTAAAACAAGAAAACTCCACATTGATAATGTCCTGATTTATGTAAATAAAGCATCTTAATCATGAGAAATTAGTGGCTAAAGTCAAACTATCCCAACTGGAACAAATCATAGAAAGTATTTGGTGTCTATCAAAATCCAAATTCCAAACAAATCTAGAACCCAGCTTGTGGCCAAAGGTTGAATGGAGGATATAGCTTTGGCATCCTTAAAGGTAATCAACTTTAGCAGACAATTTTTGATAAAACATCAAGCCCATACCTAATAACTCTAGCAGTGCAACACATGATTCCAAAAATAATTATTAAGGTCTGTGCCTAAAACTTAGCAGGGAAGACAAAAAAGAATTCTTTTAATGTAAAGTTGACAATATATTATTAAATGGCTTTTAATAGAACCTTTGGATTTAGTTCCCGAGTTGTTGAGTTGTCTCTCCCATGCCAATAGTAGCTACTCATTTCCTTGCCTGTGTACAAAGGTAACAGTTCAGTTCAATCGAATGATTTGTTCTGTTATGTGTATTTTTTTTTTCCAAAGACTCACAGCATCTCAGACATTATGCATACAACACACGAGTCTAGAACGTAGAAGAGAGACACGGTTCTCTATGACTCCACATATCGTGTGTTAATACAGATGTGTCCTTTAGCCAACAACAAGCACTAAATCTACCATGGCCACCATCCTTCAAACAAAAAAGGAAAGGAAACAAAGCAACTGGCAGCTAAAAAGGACCATATACCTGATTGGGTCGTATTGAACCATTGATACCATGCTTCTAAGCGAACAAAAGCACGTTCCAGGAATGAAGAGATTTCATTACTTTCAGTGGAACTAAATTTGTTTTTCTTTAAACCATGAACCAGATCTATATATATATATAGACACAGACAGACACACACACCCCACATTAGAGATCACCCTTTCATCAAGACAACAAAATCCACATAAGCAATACAAAAGGGACAAAAAAAAAATATATATAACATATGAATGTGCATCATTACAAATAATAGGGAAAATGTTTAACAATCTCAAGGAACCTGCTCAACAAACTTCTAAGTTCACCGGATTACAGAAATGAACTAGACTTGTTACCATGTAACACCAGAAATAAAGTTGGTGGATTGCCATTTGTTGGATGCTGAGCAACAAATTCCTCAGGGACCTTACTGCAATGACACAAATACACAAAAGAAAGATTTGGGAATTAGTTTTTAATTTAAATTTAAAACGACAACCTACTAATGCATATGATTGACCAAGTAGATACCTTAGAGCTTCAGCACCTAAAATTTGCTCACGTGGAATCCATCCATCGACATTCATTAGATCTAACCAGTGTCCAATAATATCCAAGGAAATATGAATATCCCACCGCCTGCTCAATATTGGAAAATTTACAAGAGAGCTGTCTAACTAGAAAATAATAATAACAGAAGAAGCAACTGAATTCTTACATCAGTATTTAACAAATAGACAAGAAGTGAAGCAACATACCAAATCAGTAGTTGATGAAAACCTTCATCCCACAAAAATCCTCTAGGAAAGAAAGGTCGACTTGGAACAGCCGTGTAAAGCTCAGCTGGCCAATATGCAATAAAATTATCACGACTTTCCAACTGCAAGAGAAAATTGCCTAGTGTATAGTTTTGTCAGAGGTCCACATTTAGGATAGCTGATCACAGACAAAAAAAAAAAGTAACAATTTCACGCACACAAAGCCGCAGAGAAAAAAAGGCTGCGTGAAAATTTAAAAGTCAGTATGAAATAAAATTATCTTTTTTTTTCTTTGTTTTTTGTTTTTGTTTTTGTTTTCTGTGCCACAGTTAATAAGCTGATCTGCCAAAGGCCCAATATCAGCTCCATCTGTCTCATTACCATGATTCATTAAGATATTCAATTGTCCCATTCTAAAAGGCTTCTCACAAAATCAAAAGAGGTCAGGAATCAATAGGTTCTCTTATGATGGTGATATAATTCTTCTTTTGGGATATCTTCTCCATAATAGATGGGGGAAAAAAGAAGAAAACATCAATTTACTTACCTTGGAATCTTTGGGGAGTGAAATTTTTGACTGGCCATAGAAGTAGCCAATGCCACCCAACATGTTTGCAATGGCAGCCTTACCAACAACAATAGATTCTAAATCAAGCTGAAAAGATAACAACTTGCTGTTAGAAATTCCTCTATTTTAGAGAGAATAGATACATAGGTGCAGTGGAATGAAACGGGAAAACTAATAGATATATTTTTTTCATGCCTCCACAAGCATATCTCTTTCTAAATTTGGGGAATCGAAAAAAAAAAAAAAATCTTGGAAGGCAGTTTTTGTGTAGCAGTACAGCTCTTGCATTTAGCATCAAAATCACATGCTTCTGCAATCCAGCATGATGCAACATTGTGGTCTACAGTAAATAGAATACTAGTTTAATATACCTTGTTGGCCATATTAAAGTTCTTCTCAAACTTTGCGTCAAATTCTCTTTGCTTCTCTTTCAGTTGACTGGTGAGTGAGGTACCTTCATATTACAAAGTTGGATGGATCAAAAAAAAAAAAAAAAAAAAAAAAGGGTTCAACTGAAAACACTTTCTTGGGACAAGCTTTAGCTGGAAGTCAGTGCTAGATGAAATCTGGTGAGAATGAAAACATACTAGACATCTCTCGGTGTTATAAGCATATACATACAAAACACAAAAAAGGCATCGCATATGTATGCACCCACTTGCTACAAAAATTTACATTTTAGCTGTATGCTTAGTATATCTATTACTAGAGGAAAGTATGGAAAAACCTGTAAGGCTGGTAATGCGTTCTTCTATTCTTGGAGACTCTGAATTAGCGCCCGAAAGATATGCAATATCTATCTTGAATGGAATCCTGGAAGAAATCTGCATAGAAATAAATCACAAGATGAGCTATATGAGACACTAAAAAAAAAAAAAAAAAAAAAGCTCTCTTAGTTCATGTATTGTAAGCTGGTAATTCCAAACCTACTAGCACTAATTACCTCAACGGCTGCATACCTGAAAAACTACAATATTTGGAGACACCTCAGATGTGTCGGACAACTTGAGTCGATCAAACTTTCTAGCCTTAGAAAATGGAAGCAAAAATTAGAGTTGCCAAGAGAAAGAAATTATAACACGTATAAAGCACATTATGTTAGATTAATAAGGTTAAAAATACAGTCATATTTCCATACACTTGTGTTGCTAGATTTTGCTGCACAAGATCAGATAAGTTGTGAATGTGAGGCGTCCTAAAACCAGAATAATGAACTTCCAAATCCTCCTGCACAATGAAGAACAAAAAGTAGGAAACAGGGTTCATTTCCCAAGATATTTAGCAACATAAATCAAAGGGAAAAAGATAAAGAACTGGAATGAAGTGTACTTGTAGTGACTAGTGTCTAATGAGGGTCATAAATTTAGTTTAAATTTGAGAAACTAAATTGGAAAAAGATAAAGACAGTGTGCTCTTTTGCTAAGATTACCTGTGATTTCATATGTAGCTGCCAACTTCCAACATCCCTTCGTGAACCAGATGTGAGCAGAGAATTCCCATGAATGTCCAAGGTATCTCCACTCAAACTTAGAACACTTCCATCTTCATCAGCCAAATAGAAAAAAAGATGTCCAGTATTTCTCCATGGTTCCTCGCTTTGCATAGCTCTACAAACAGAGAACAGCAAAAGTAAACAATATAGTATTGCATTAACGACGTAGACCTAATAAAAGCAACAAATTTCCACCAATTTCAACGTACAATGCTCCAATACAAAATATGCGGAATAATTTCCACCAACTGCATTAACAACGTACATTTCCACAACTTTCTATCGCAGAAAATTTACAAAAAAAAAAAAAGAAAAAAAAAAGAAGGAAAAGCACACACACACACACATAAGATAGAACTAGGTTAGGAAATTCAACAAATTTCCACCAATTTCAACGTACAATGCTCCAATACAAAATATGCAGAATAATTTCCACCAACTGCATTAACAACGTACATTTCCACAACTTTCTATCGCAGAAAATTTACAAAAAAAAAAAAAAAATAAAATAAAAAGAAGGAAAGCACACACACACATAAGATAGAACTAGGTTAGGAAATTTACTTCTCGTTTTGCAAATCAATTCTAACCGCCCAATCTCCTCCATAACCGCTTCCCTCCTGCTTCGATTTCAAGAAACTCGTGGCCAAGGTCATCTCCTGGTCAACAATTACTTGGTGACCAAAATCGCGTCCATTATGGTGGGTCCAACCATATAAACTCATCTCATCAGAATCTTGGCACACATGCCTCATGAAATACCTTCCGTCCTTTATACCGAGCCACATTAATCCAGCGATCAACGAACGAGGAGTCCTAAACAAGTGCGATATCCAATTATCGTCAGAATCACAGTCGTAATTCATGAAGATCGATCAAAATGTATAGAAATACGATTACAAATTCTTCCGACGAACGAACAAGGAAATACCTGGCACGAACTCCAAGGTAAACGTGAGGGCGATATGTTCCCCAATACAGGCTCTCCTTGTGATCGCCTTGAAACTGCGACGAACGGAGAATTCAAACACGGAACGAATACGCGACAGAAATGTGGAGAGATTGAGATTCAGATCGCGATTTTACCTGAGGAAGGTCCATGACTTTGGGAGCAGGGAAGGGAGTGACAACCCTAGGTCTTCGAGATTGTTCGGCGGGCTTGACGAGTTTATGGATGAGGAGAAAAATGAAGAAGAAGGAGATTACGCTGATTCCTAGCATCAGTTTGAGATCGACATTGAAGATTCGAATGGAATCGTGAGTTCTACCGCCTCTGCTAAGGGGTTTGGAATGAGGTTTTGGTTTTGGCGAAGAAGGAGGTTCGTTGCGGCCATAGGCGTCTGAGGAGGACTTGATTCTGCTCCGAGCACTTGCTCTGCCGCCTCCGGTCATTTTCAGACCAGGAGGTACTGATGTCGAAAGTCGGAGGACGCTCCGAAAAAAGTCTCTCTGTGTGAGTGATCAGTCGGGAGGAGAAGAATGTTAAGAGATGAACTCCGGCCAAGCTGAATGCAATCGAGCCCAAGCAATTTACAGCTCGGCCCAGTTCAATTTAGCTAAAAACATTTTTCTCAAGGATTATTACCACTATCGGTTTCAGTAATGGTAGTCAACAGCATATAAATTTGAAACGATTTTCAAGTAAATAAAATATTTTTGAAACAATCATAATAATAAATATCATACTCATCGATTTAATCATAAATGCTCATGGTAAATAATTTATTTATTTACCCTTCATATTTATCTTTACTTCAATCGGTTTGAAAACATAGATATTTATTTTTTTTTAAAACGTTTCAAAAGTATGTTTTATGTCTTTTTGTTATTAGTTTCTATGAGTATGTGCTATTGTGATCTTAAACTTTTTTTTTCTCGGTAAATTACTTCCTAAACTTTTAAATTTTGTAATAGTTTTAGTTTTAACATTAAAATTGATGAAAATTTACGAGAAATAATTAGGTTCTAATCGCATAGTAATTAAGTAATCGTTTAGTTGATGGGTTCACGTGATTTGTACCACGAGTTTATTCCAGTACTAAATGCACAAATTTTGACCCCAATTTAAACTATATGTGATGTTATAAACAAGGCAATTAGGCAAACCAGAAAAATCAGTCGCTTCGAAAAGGTGGCATGTATACCTATTCGGCATTCTATGGATCTGAAGACTTGCCTTTAGTCCTTTCGGACTAAAGAAAAGGTATGAACTGGAAAAAAAAAAAAAAAAAAAAAAAACTGTTCAAGTCAAAGATTAGAACTACACAAATGACATTTGTCAATCAAATAATAACAAGTCGATCACCAACATCAATTGGTCTAAAAATATTTTATTCAACTTTTGAAATCTCCTAAATTGTGCTCACGCTTGGAAATTGTTGGTACTTACTAATTGGAGTTTACTTCACAACAATTATATATGGCAATTTCACTGCAACATTAATTTGCAAGTTGATCATCGAAATAAGTCTCTTTGAAATTTTAGGTGTTTCTTGGCTACTTGGAGATGTGCAGTAGAAAAACCACTTTCCCATTTTTCATTGTAATTTTGCTTTTCTTAGTAGCAGAAAGAAATCTTGTCCAAGCCAACAGATGGTCTAATTCCAATGCTGAAAACTCTGCTCTTAGTTGCAGTACTAAGGAGAGAAACTCGCTTCTTTCGTTTAAAGAAGGTCTTAACGACACTTCGAATTGCCTTTCTTCTTGGGTTGGCAAAGATTGCTGCAACTGGTTTGGTGTCGGATGTAGCAACCAAACAGGTTACTTGACAAAACTTGATCTCCACAGTTGATATTTTTCTAGTTCCCCAGAAGAATCCAACAAAAAATCATGTAAGCAGTTGAATTTGGGGGGTAAATTGAGTCCTTTACTGGACCTGAAATATCTTGCTTACTTGGATCTAAGTGGCAATGCTTTCCAAGGAATTCCAATCCCAAGTTTTGCGGGTTCTTTGACGAATTTGCGATACTTAGACCTATCAGACTCGGCCCTTCTCTAATCAAGTTGCGAGCCCCCTTAGAATAGAAGTAGCTTTCTTTTATCCTTGGAAGTAGCTTCCCCAGTCCTATGACGGTAAGTAACAGGGAGATAGCATCCTTCCTTATTCTTCGGATTAGTGGGAGGCTGGCTTTCTGGTGGGGCTAAGTTCCTAAAGACTCACTTGAATACTGAGTTCCATCGGTGGAATGATTCCTCCTAGTATTGGTAATCTGTCAAAGTTGCGTTACCTTGATCTCCAAGCTATTTCGTATCCGCGCGAGCTTTGGGCATCAGACTTACATTGGCTCCCAAACCTTTCTTCCTTGGAGTATCTCAACTTGGGAGGCGTGAACCTTAACAAAACCTATGAAGGTTGGCTCCAAGCTATTAATATGCTTCCTTCCCTTCTGGAACTTCACCTGTCGAAATGTAATCTCGGTAGTTCTCTTCAATCTCTTCCACATCTTAATTTGATGTCGCTATTAGTTTTTGATCTCAGTTTCAACCACTTCAACTCTTCTTCAATTCTTCAGTGGTTGTTCAATATCACTACTCTTTTCAACCTGAACCTTTCTTGGTCCAATCTCGGAGGCCCCATTCCTAAGGTTATTTAAGGGTGCCTTTGCAATTTGCAAACTTTAGATCTTTCAAGTAAGAGCTTGTCAATGATTTATCAGGGTGTAGTAATGTTAGTCTAGAGTATTTAGACTTGACTGCTAATAAACTTAGTGGGCACTTGCCAAATTCTCTAGGATACCTCAAACATTTGAAGTACCTTAGTCTTTCCTACAACTCATTCTCAGGTCTAATTCCCCCATGCATGGGAAATTTGTCAAACTTGACTTTCTAGTTCCCCAGAAGAATCCAACAAAAAATCATGTAAGCAGTTGAATTTGGGGGGTAAATTGAGTCCTTTACTGGACCTGAAATACCTTGCTTACTTGGATCTAAGTGGCAATGCTTTCCAAGGAATTCCAATCCCAAGTTTTGCGGGTTCTTTGACGAATTTGCGATACGTAGACCTATGTCTTTCGGTGAAATGATTCCTCCTAGTATTGGTAATCTGTCAAAGTTGCGTTACCTTGATCTCCAAGCTATTTCGTATCCGCACCAGCTTTGGGCGTCAGACTTACATTGGCTCCCAAACCTTTCTTCCTTGGAGTATCTCAACTTGGGAGGCGTGAACCTTAACAAAACCTATGAAGGTTGGCTCCAAGCTATTAATATGCTTCCTTCCCTTCTGGAACTTCACCCGTCGAAATGTAATCTCGGTAATTCTCTTCAATCTCTTCCACATCTTAATTTGACGTTGCTATTAGTTTTTTATCTCAGTTTCAACCAAACTCTTCTTCAATTCTTCAGTGGTTGTTCAATATCACTACTCTTTTCAACCTGAACCTTTCTTGGTCCAATCTCGGAGGCCCCATTCCTAAGGTTATAAAAGGGTGCCTTTGCAATTTGCAAACTTTAGATCTTTCAAGTAACTATGACATTACTGGTGAAATAGAAGAGCTTGTCAATGATTTATCAGGGTGTAGTAACGTTAGTCTAGAGTATTTAGACTTGACTGCTAATAAACTTAGTGGGCACTTGCCAAATTCTCTAGGATACCTCAAACATTTGAAGTACCTTAGTCTTTCCTACAACTCATTCTCAGGTCTAATTCCCCCACGCATGGGAAATTTGTCAAACTTGGAAAAACTTGACCTCTCGTTCAACAATATGTATGCGACCATCCCGGAAAGTATCGGAGAACTTCAAGAGCTACGGAATTTAGATCTTTTCTATAATTCCTGGGAAGGCGTCATAAGTGAAGATCATTTCCGTAATCTTACAAATTTGTCTTGGCTTTCTTTATCATCTTCAAAGAACTCATTAGTTCTTAAGGTGGCTCATGATTGGGCCTTTCAATCTATTTACTCTTCAAATCAGTGGTTGCCAAGTCGGTCCAACATTCCCTGCATGGCTCAAAACACAACGACGACTCAGAGAAATAACCATTTCTAATGCTGCAATCTCAGACACATTACCTGATTGGTTTTGGAAATTGTCCCCACAGTTTGAGCAATTGGACCTTTCTCGCAACAACTTAAGGGGAGAACTTCCCGGTTCATCATTCTCGGTGTCCCTTTGGATTGTGGATTTGAGTTTCAATTTCTTTAAAGGGCCATTTCCTCTTTGGTCTAGTGTTGCATCTCTCTCTTTAAGAAACAACATGTTTTCTGGACCAATACCTTCAAGAATTGGCCATGTAATGCCGGGGTTGACTTTCCTTGACCTCGTCTCTGGGAACTTTATAAATGGTAGCATTCATCCATCCTTAATCAAACTGAAGAGTTTGGGAACTCTTGACCTATCAAACAATCTCTTATCAGGACAAATCCCTAACCATTGGGAGGGAATGCAAGATTTGTGGAGCATAGATCTATCAAACAATAACGTAACTGGTATGATTCCCAGTTCATTGTGCTCATTGCCTTATCTGTACTGGTTGCAACTGAGTAAGAATGGACTTTCTGGAGAGCTATCTTCTTCTTTGCGAGATTGTAGGCGATCGGTGCCAGTGATTGATCTCAGAGATAACATGTTTTCGGGAATCATACCGAAATGGATTGGCAAAAGACTTTTCTCAATAGAAATATTGCGCCTAAGAAACAACTTGCTCACCGGTAATATACCTGAGGAGTTGTGCCAACTCGCCTTCATCCATGTCTTGGATCTTGCTCATAACAATTTCTCCGGACCAATCCCCACGTGTCTGGGCATGATGGCTGGCTTTCAACATTCAGGCTTTTATAGTAAGGTGCCACCGTCAAAATCCCAAGACTTCATGAGCTATATGAATATGCAATTGGTTCTGAAAGGAAGACAAGATGACTATGTGCAGCTTAAGATAGTAAACATGATTGATCTTTCGGTGAATAGTCTCTCCGGGGAAATCCCAACAACTTTAACAAATCTTTCGAAACTGGTTGCCTTGAATTTGTCCATGAACCACTTGACTGGAAGAATACCGGAGAAAATCAGAGACCTGAAATTTTTAGAAACTCTTGACCTTTCTTGGAACCGTCTTGAAGATCCTGGTCCCTTGAGCATGTCTTCTCTTAATTTCTTGAGTCATTTGGACGTGTTACACAACACTTTGTCCGGAACAATTCCATTTACTGGTCAGTTAAACACCTTGAATGATCCGTCCATTTACAAAGGTAACTCGGGACTCTGTGGACCTCCCCTGCCAACCTTGTGCTCAGGGCCTAGCGTTCAAGTCACTGATCAAAGTAAAGAAGGAACCGATGATGAGGACGATGATCGGCACGACAAGTTTTGGCTTTACGTAAGTATTGGATTGGGATTCATCACTGGATTTTGGGCTGTTTGTGGCAGTTTGGTGATAAAAGACTCTTGGAGACATTCATATTTCAGGTTCATCGACAATGTAAAAGAGACTCCTTCGAATTATGTCACTTAATGGGGCTCATTTGCAGAGGAAGATGGAGGTGAGAAGACGTCAAGGTAATTAGTTTGATAAAGGCATGATACATTTTTTATTTCAAAATTTTCCCAGCTTTGATTCTTTTTATATTTATGGTCTTCCAGTGCAGTAATCGTGGTTCATTGACCTGTTGGGAGTTCAGAAATGAAGGACTCGGAATAAATAAGTAAAAAGTTAACTATTTGCTTAATTGGTATTTCAGTTAAAGGCTCCTGATGAATAGAGTACATGAAAATGTGCCAGGCAACGGAGAATATATATATATATATATATATATATGGACAATATGTATGCTAGTGTACATGATGTTATAATGAAGGCATTTGCTGTTTTCCTCAATATGCTTGTATACTCAGAACTAATTATGAATATTATTCATTTTCTTTTCTTTTTTATTTAATTTAATTTAATTTTTTGTGTTATCTTTCCACAAATACATCCCCATAGTTCTATACGATGAGAAGTATAGGTTTTTTCATCTATGCTAAATAGTTCTATATGACAATAATATGGATTTTTCATCTATGCTAAATTTACATGAGATGGTACAGGTGGAACAAATTGGTTCTACTTAGAAAATAGAAATGTTTCCTTCTTAAAAGATCCATTATTTAAGGCAGCTTTTTCTAGCTTGTCAGAATGATTTCTGAATTGTTAATATTAATTGACCAAAACCTTATAAGTGTTCACAGACAACTTGTTGATCAAATCATCAAAGACTAGAGTAGCGTTTTGTTTGGTGGATTGAAATCAGAATGCGAATAAGAAAATATATTTGAATTAACACTTAAATAAAATGAACATGATGGAGCAATTACAAATCTGAGAAAGAGTTTCTCAAAACAGGGAGAAGAAGCAAGTTCTTGACTCAACGCACAATATTTGAGATCAGAAGCAAAACTACAGAGATTTGCAGCAACATCAGAAAACTAACAGAATCCGAAAACCTTCAACTAAACGCTGCCTTTATCATGTCTTGGAGTTGCAGGAAAGCAAAAGGATGAGCAAACAAAAACACGTTTGAAGATCCAAAAGACAGTCTAAACCAAAACGAGAAAAGCATTGATAAAGCTGAATAGCTCTTATCCCTTCAACAATCCTCTGCATCTTATTTGAATTAATTATAATGGTCTCTTTTGGTTATTTATTATTATTGGATTGAAATAGAATAATAACGACAAAAATACAGTTCGTTTCATCTGTAATAATGTCTTTTATATTAAAAGTAGTAGGAAGGACAATTTAATATGTTAATAGGATTAATGGAAGGGGGCGACAAGCCATAACTATTCTCTTAAGACGTGACTACATATAAGACGGCCCACATATTAAGAAGTGTCCCTAGTGAGTCCGAGTTATTTACGTTAGAAGATGAAGCGAAGATGAAGCGAGTCAATCTGAAAATAGTCTCAAACTCTTCTTATGCAACTCAAACTTGCTTTTTGAGTTGACATCATGTTCAAAATGCAATAATTATTACCTCGGTCTACTTTAACTCTCTAAGAATACGTATTCATATTTTTCTTAAGATTTAGAGTTGACAGTGAAAGGGAGGCTCACTGAATACACTGGAATAGTTGCACTAGTAAATTTGATAGATCTTTCAGGCAACAATTTATGGGGAGAGATACCAAAAGAAATTGCTAATCTCTCAAGATTAGGCACTCTAAATTTATATCTCGGAACCATTTGGTGGGAAAGATACCAGAAAACGTTGGCAACTTGAAGCTCTTGGAAACTCTTGATCACTCTTGGAATCATCTTTCAGGCCCAATTCCTCCAAGCATGACGTCTATGACATCCTTGAACTATTTGAACTTGTCGTATAACAACTTGTCAGGACAGATTCCGTCTGCCAACCAGTTCCAAATCCTCGACAATCCGTGGATTTATGAGGGTAATCCAGGCCTTTGTGGGCCTCCATTGCCAACCAATTGCTCGTTTACAAGCAATGGTGAGAATTCAGAAGAGATCAGCCAAAGTGCAGAAGAAGAAGATGATGATCAGGTGGCACCCTATTGATGAATACGTCTCTGAGGCATGCATATTTCAGGTCCGCAGATGCCATGAAGGAAAAGCTCATGGCGTTCTTTGCAGTTCGAATGGCTCGTCTGCGAAAAAAGCTGAATACGCCCGCAAACTGAGGTATGTAATGACTTATTTGATAAAACTTAAACTAAGCACACGTTTTTCCCTTATAATCAATTTAATATTCTCTGTTTGTATTGTATGCTCACTGCAGCGATCGAGCTAGTGCATCCTTATATGCAAAAACTGAATGTTGAAGAAAGTAAAGAGCCATGGAAGATGAAGGAAAGAAGTCTATCTTGTGTTAGGGTTAGGGACATATATATTGCATGGTTAGTTAGTCCTGTCAGTGTGTCGTAAATCCCCTGTACCTTAGAGGGGATTCAAAATAAAGTTGACACTATTTATGGTCTGTAGTAGTATTACATCAGATTCTCCAAATAAACTTGTCATCTCATATGTATTTTGTGCTTACTCATATCTCTACGGTGCGGAACAATGATTTTTGTGCCAGCAAAAGTAACTATATATCACCGATTTTACATAAACTCAGCCATGGTTGAATCACAAAAAATTATTCTTGTCCATAAGTGCAATGAAAAAATTGAGAAGACGACTCTTGAGGCTGCCATTCTTTTCTTTCTCAAGTAGGAGATATTAGCATCCAGAGTGAATTTGCAATTGGGTAGTTTTGCCTTTGCTTTGCCTCTTTATGCCTGTGCATATATATATATATATATATGTATATATCATTGAGCATTTTGTTATTCAAATTTTAAGGCATAATAACATCTATGATACAGATTTGGATCAAACTTATATTATAATTTTTTAGGCTGAGTATTTCCTGATCTCGCTCTCAAGACCAACTTCAGCCCCTCGTCTTCTGCGCATGATCGACTGAATTTCATGCGCGCATTCCTTTGTATGCAACACGGCATCCTTGGCTGCACTGCATAGATCCAAGAGCCTAAGAGAGCCATCCACCAGTTGGTCAGCCCATTGCTCTTGGCGGCCTTGGACAAAGGCTTGTTGAGTGGAGGGAAGTAGAAGCAACTTTTTGACACATTCATGCAAGTCCTTGTGATTTTGAGGGCAGGCTGTTTGAGCGAACATGGAAGTGGAATTTTGAGTCTGCCATTGTTTTCCTTGTCAAGGAAGAGATATTTGACGTTGAAAATAAATTTGCTAATGATTTCTTTCGCAAGTTTTGCCTTGTTTCGTTTTCCATCAGCTCTACGTTTATATATCATGAGATGAGGAAGACATTAAGCATTTTATTATTCAAATGATGATGCATAATTAATGACTTGTGTGATTCAGATTCAGATTTGGATCTGAACACTATATCACCGATGTTTTCGTAATGTTCCCTGGCCACCCATGTCTCCAACTCATTTCCCAATTGTAGTAACATGGAAAACAATCTTAGAGCATCTCTTTCAATATTCAGAGATTGCAACACACAATGAATGCAACATGAGAGGGGTTTTCAGCATTTTTAATAATTTAGGGTGATATTAATTTATCTTAATGATTAATACGCTACAATCTTGCAGGTGTAGTGTTGTGCAACTAGCGGGCAAGATCTGCATAAGTCTTTATTAAAAACGTGTTTGCAGAGGTTAGCAGGGTTCGCGAGTAAGGTGTGGCGTGTTATCGCCACTCGTGCATTACAATTTTGATTCTTTTCTGCAATGCATTACATCTAATAAAGTATTCTTGCCACCTGAGTCATATGTCTCATATGAAGACTCAATAATATTGGTAATGGTGAGACATAAAATAAGGTGTGTTTATATCCATATATATATATGTATGTATCATAGTCAGGTTAGCTATTGAAGAGGATGAGATACCTTCCGACTCCCTTGTCCTCTTGATATATGTATATGCGAATAGATGACAAAAGAAAGAAGGGAAATTTTAAACGACAACTGAACTTTCAACAAACTCTTAGCCTCAAGGGAAGTGGTGAACAAGGCAATCCACAACCACAAGGCCAAAGGGAAAACAGATGAAACTTCAGCTCCAGACTTTTGATCCATGTGCTCCGCGCGCCTTGAGACATGCTGATGAGCTTGCGAAAGACGATGATGGAACTATGAATGATGGATCTAACATCGGCCGTAAAAAGTTTTGGTTCAATGTAAACATGGGATTGGATTCATAATGCGATTTTTAGCCGTTTGTGGCAGTTTGGCGAAGATCAAATCTTCGAGATTTTCATATATGCTTCCTCTTCCTTAATGCTGTAAAAGAGAGGATCATTGTTGCGCTTGCAGTGAATGTGGCTCGTTTACAAAGGAAGAGGGAGTTGAAAAGAGACCAAGGTAATTATTATAGAAAGATGAGATTAATGTGTGTGGAATGTGGATCATGTACCTTTTCTTTTCCCCTACTTTTGATCATTTTTTACTTGGTTTTCTATTTTCACCTACGTAGTCAATTTAATATTAATTTACTCATCCATTATACGTTTGTGTTATGTTGTCAGGTAAAGTACCAAATGAACTGATATATATATATATATATATAAGTGTGAATAATTGTGATCTCATTCTGTGTTAATGAAGATATTAATTTGCTACCAAACCATTTCTTCAACAAAAGAAAAGAGAATTAATAATATCAGTATAATTGAGTGGGATCTGTTTTTTCTTTTTTGATTAAAAAGAAAGCATAGAAACGGGAAAAGAGTTGCGTATTGTACACCCAAGAAGCATCTTAAAGTCGGTCTTTATCACTGCTAGCACATCTTGCATCTAAGTCATCAGATGATAACAAATGTCAATGAATAGCCATTGTAAGCTTCCTCTTTTTATTTTATTTTATTTTATTTTAAGGAGCCATAAACCATTTGGCAAAAAATATTGTTTTAGTCCGATGCGCTGTTCTATTTTGTACACTAATAGATAATGTATTTATTAGGACCATGGGCTCTACCATAAGAGATTGGGGATCCAACTCAAAAAGTTAAGAGTAGTCTAGTCCCTTATAAACCCATCATAGTTCCCATTTACTTTTTTCAAATGCTATATTTATCTTTGTTATAATTATTAAGCTTTGAAACTTGTAAAAGTAAATTTAAATTTTTATAATAATTTCAAATGATAATGTCTTGATTAAATGAAAAGGTCAATACATCAAGTATTAATAATTAAAATGTCGAAATTTTACGTATGCTATTCTTGAACTTGATGCCAAATTTAACGCTTAACTCTCAATTGGAGAGTGGGTTTCTTCCTTTCATGCTAATATCTAACATTGGCATACTAATTTGTATTGCATTGAAGATACTCTTAACAAAGAAATCTGAGGCAAAAAGTCGCAAACCTTTTCTCGTGGGATATGTTGTAGTATTTTGGGCAGTGCGTGGCCCCATGTTGATGAATAAGTCTCCGAGGCATTGCATATTTCAAGTCCGCAGACACCATGAAAAGAAAAGCCTTTTGTTGTTCTTTGCAATTTATATGGCTCGTTTGCAATAAAAGCTGAGTATGTCAGCAAACTAACTAAGATAAATGAGTTATTAGCTTAAAACAGAAGCAAAAATTGTGTGTTAGAATTTTCAATTTCTGATGAGCCAGGGACATCATATTGTGTGTGTCTCTTCATTTCTTTTTTTTTTTTTTTTTTTTTCCCGGGGAACTTTTTTTTGTGTTTTTTTTTTTTTTTTTTTTTTTTTTTTTTTTTTTTTTTGGTAAACCAATGGTAATTTGAGATAAAGTTGGGATTCTGGTGTGGAGTGTATAGAAGACTCCAGTTTTCAAATAAACTTACTGCTAACATATGTATGTGCATTCATATATCTCATATATATATATATATATATATATATATATATATACCAATCAACTCACGCAAAAGTAAAACTACAAACTCTTAATCATTTACAATAATCTCAACAGTGGTTGTGTCACAAAATCTTCTTTTCTGGTCCATGAAAACCATGAAATGGGAAAGCCTCAGCTAGAACTCGGCAGCCAGCACAAAAATGTCAAAATCCAACTCTCGCAAATCAATCAATCACTCGAAAGAAAAAGAAACCTAGGAAAGAAACGTGGCTGCACGTGTGAGGAATTCCAATGCAAACTTCTTCATAGTGCTACAGATCAAAATGCCTAATAGCTGTTTTCCTACCACACGTTATCTAAGCGGTACTAATCGCCTTCTTCTTCTGGCTAAAGCTCAGACTTTGGACCAGATTTGAAAGACAGGACTTTGCAGGCCGTCTTGCATTTGATATGCTCTCTGAGTTGGAACTTGTATTGTTTTGACTTCTTTTACCTCTACGAACAAGGTTTACTATGGACATGTTTGAGCCTTTATTCGACGAGTTTGAAGAGAGATTACTAATGGAGGGATCAGCTTCGTGATCTGCCTTCTGACTTGACATTTGATTGCCATCGCTGTTGAAGCTTTCGTGATCAAGATACTCGATTAGAAGCTTGTTTGAAGAGGGTCCGCGTTGGGAGTCTGTTGTGTTATCAATGGAAATGGTATTTTCGGCTTGAAAGGTTTCTCCTTCTCTACTTATGTGGATTGTCGTGTCGTCTGAAGACGGTGTAGTATCTATACAAAATATCATTTTCTACTCAATAAAGGGGCAAAAACAAAACAAAAAACAAAAAACAAACAAAACTGTGGCATTCTGCAGGTAATCTTACCACCATTGGCACTGTAGAAGTCTTCAAAATCAGATTCTATGGAGACAATAGAATCATAAAACACCTCTTCTTTGCTACCTACAGAGATAACAGAACTCATAATACAAACAAGCAAAAAAAAAAAAAGTAATATAAGAATGAAAGAAATAAACACACAAAAACGCACTTTTTTCATTCAAACCATTAACAATATAGTTACAGAAAGCCTAAACTGAGTCTGTCTCGAAAAGTTATGCAATGTACACATATCACAGAGGGAAAAAAAAAAAAAAAAAAAAAAAAGAGGCAAAAAACGAAACTTTTCATAGAAAAGATTGACTTCACTAAAAGTTTAGAATCATACTTGGTTCTGGGAAACTCGATGTCGGAGGCTTGATTACACTGATCTCTGAAATTTGGCGCTGTGAACTGATGGAGCTTTCCTGAATTGGGATATTGATCACCACAGTCTCAGTACCGTTGTCATGGCTCAAGCGTTTGGGTTCTAAAGCAGTGTTTGTACCCCTCTGAGTTTGAATACAGTTGCCCATTTCCAAAAAAAAAAGAAAGAACTATAAGATGAACTTACATTATATAACAGAAGCTCATTTTCTGTTCTCTGCATAACAGAGTGAGATATCGAAAAGATGTAAATAAGAGGAGTTAGTTGGCTCAAGGCTTAAAAGGAATGAAATTAGCTCAACCAAAACCTGTGAAGAAAGCGGATTGGTCTTGAAAGCAAAGTAATGGCTATCTGCTGTGGGGTGGGTCCTACTTGGATATTTCTTTCACTATAAGCTTTGTTATCCTTCTTCATTATTACTTCTTTTTACTAGGCTGCAACACTCTATGAGAAAGCAATTATCAAATTATCAAAAATAAAAAAAGAAGGAAATTATAAAAATAAAAAAAAAATCTATGAGAAAGCTGCTTTCGGGATCTCCAGCTTTAAAAAAAAAAAAAAATTATTAAAAAAAAAAGAAGAAAATTGAGCTTTTTGGAGTGGTTGCTCATTTGCCAGGTTGGTTATGTTGCATGTCCTGTCGTTTTTCAGAGGCTATAATTTCTTTACAACTTTGAACACTGACCCAATAATGAAGTAAAAAGTAAAATGTTGGACTTTGTCAATCATGCTCATGTCGGAAACATGTCACAGATGCTGATTATATGTGGTTTATGAATCTTAGCCAATTAAGGGAAAGGTTTTTATAAAATTGTAATAGGGAGAGATCGATTTACAATCTGGGAGAGAAGTGAGAAGTTCTTACGTCTTATCAAGAAAACAAGTGGAGGTGGCAAAATAAGTTAAGTTTAAGGGTGGCAAAAGAAGTTCTTATCAAGAGAATAAGATACGGTGGCAGAGTAAGTTCTTACGTAGCGGTATTGGCAAAGCTCATGATTTCATGCTTTTTGTTGTTTTCGATTTTGATAAACTCTGTCATCGTTTTCAACGTGCCTTGTTGGTAAGAGACATTTTTCCAGAGGCACAACCTTTGAAATTTAAGGTGCATACATTGTGGGCTTTTTTTTTTTTTTTTTTTTTTTGGGTCAAGAATATTGATTGGACAGATTTAGTGTCCCCTTGACGGCATTCTGCTTTTTCTTTTTTCTTTTTCCCTTTTTTTTTTTGGTCATTTAATTGTAATTTTCTATAGACATTACAACTAAGGTCATGTACAACTACCCGCCATCGTTTTCAACGAAGTTAATTGTACATCTACCCGTACTCCAAGAGAGGAAAGGATAACTTAAGACATAAATGCACAGAACCAACTTTTAAATGTCATTCCATGTGGGAAGATAAGATGTTAACAATTTGCATATATTTTTTTGAAGATATTTTAAACTATAATTAAATATATGTAATATAATGTCATGTCCCGCTAGAACACATTAAAACGTCGTCTGGGGTGAAAGTCACGTAAAATATATTTAGTAGTAGAGGAATATTCATTTCAAACATAGGAAAGGCCAAATGCAAGGTTTAACCATCGTTTTCAACTATGAGATATATTTCTTGTTATTATGTCCTTTTCGCCTAGGATTTATCTTTGTCCTTCACTGAATTTCCTGAAGCCAAAACTTTCCTCCAATTTTATTTTTCACCCAATATAAAACCATGTGCAATATTGAGCAAATTCCTAGCCAGCTCCTTCTTAGGTATGGATTCCAAAGGCCCCGAGGAGAACGGGAAAGGCCCCGGGCAGGATGGGTTGCGCTCGAGGAGCTTCCGCGACGAAGACTACAATACTAGAAGGGTGTTCTTGAGGAGCTATCCACTTCGGTGGGGAGGAGAGGAAGAAAGAAATGAAGAAGAGCTGCCGAAGAAGATGGAGAGTAAAAACAACACTAGAAAGAAGTATATCAAGAAGGTGATCCTCGCAGTAATCGAATGGAGTAGTGACAAGGCTTTGGTCTTGAGGAAGGTCAAGAACAAAATTGCTGTTTATGTCGTTGCTTGTATTCCTATTAGCTTCAAGCCCCCAACTGCACTTATATCCGCTTAAAACATCCACTGTCTACTGACAGTCTATAGTAATACTTTTCGCATATTGCATACATCCTTCTCATGTCATTTGGTTGTAATTACTGCGTGCAAATTTTTCAAATTTTTATTGTTAGGAATTTCATCATAGCTAACAAGAAACTGAGGTTTCACTACATGACACAGCCATCTTTCTTTTTGCCAATAATAATAATAATAATAATAATAATTATTATTATTATATTGCATCTCGAGGAAGTAACTTGGAAACAATAGGCGCGTTTGGAACTCGTTTTAAAATGATTTTATTTTTTGTATGCAAATAAAAATGAAAATGTTTTCAATCTCAAATAGAAATTATTTTTGAAAATGCGTCTGGTAGTTTTATCAAGAGATTATTTTCAGTGTAAAAAAACCTATTAATGTCTCTCTCTCTCTCTCTCTGCTCGAGAGAGGAGAAAATGAAAAATGACTAAACTAAAAAATCATTTTCATTTCCGTTTTTTGTCTTTATTGTGCCAAATGCCGTTTTGGAAACATTTTCATTTTTTCTTTTTCAACAAACGTGAAAAATAAAATTGAGATCAATTCCAAACACGATTAATATTTTTTATTTGACATACTACTTCTAGCACTCTATTCAGGCTAGTTACAAAGTTACAAAAATACCAAAAAAGATTTTTTAACTAAAAATGAGTCGGATGATATATTTGATGACATTGCAATCAGTTTAAGAGTTGAGTTACACGAGACTTTCACCAAATAGTAATGCCACTCCCTATATCAATTATTTCATTAGCAATTGTAGCACTCATCTCTTTCTTTCTTCTACGTGCTTCATGCAGATGTAGTTCACAAAAATCTTGAATTTCCCGATTATGAATCAGCATTTTGAAATTTAAGTGTAAAGGCGTCACGGTACCTTGTCCTACAAATAAATTCAAAATACAATAGAACAAATTTGCACAAATTTGCACAGCGCATAAAGTTGCAATAGATTTAATGTGAATAGGCTAAGAACATAATTACTCCCATCTATGGCAACTAAAAAGAACGTCTGCAAATAAACATATCGGAGTATATATATACCTGTTATCCCTTCAAGGACAGAACGTACAAATTCCCAACAACACCAAGTTTAGAAATTAACGGAAATTGAAGCGTGCTGACCAAGAAAAAGCACTATCCGACCACATGACACGACACTTTTAAGTTTGTATTGCAATGGATAAATTTACAAATTACGGAAAAATAAAAGTAAATGAAGGTTTTATTTTCTTTTTCATTTACCCTCTCTCTTGAAAATAGGGTAAAAACTCGTGTTTAAGTCATAAATTTACAACACTTGCCTTTTCAGGGAAAAAAAAAAAAAGATTCATCTATTAAGCATAATACATTTCACATCTACAAACCGAGCCTCTTTGGTCTCAGATAGGTCGAAGTTCCCTTGGGCAACAACCCTGGCGTTGCCACACGCTGCTGTTGCTTAGCCCTCTTTTCCCTCTCCTCCTCCTTGTTTACTCTCTCCAACTCAGCTTGCTCCTTCCTCAGATTCTCCATCTCTTCCTCCATGGCTGTCTTCTCTTCCTTTTGTCTCTTCTTGTGCTCCAACAATGACGTGTCCGAGTCCTTAACAGAAAAGAACATGGGCCCCAGTTCAGCGAGCCACTGCGGCTCCACTGCCGTTGCACACTGCATATATTCTTTCGCCGTCAAAATCAATTCATGGTACACTACATAGTCTGGTGTGCAACCCATGCCATAGAGAGCACTGCTGGGATGTAAATGGCATGGCATTCCATTCCTGGAATTGATATATTCTCCCACACCCTTTAATCTCGCCGAATTGTGAAAATATGCAGAACAAATGGCTTTTCGCACAATGTCTGTATCGGGCCATGATGATGTCAAAGGAATTTTCAGCGTCTTCAAAATATCCAGCAGCTGTGATCTTACCTCTCTAGCTTTCCGTAAACCTTTAACATGCAAAAAATGGTCATTGCACCAGTCTCCTCGATAATCATGTTGTTTCCATTGTTGATAAACATTATAGAGCGTCAAGTGGTCAGACTCTGGAATGAAGAATTTCTCACGCGCAGCGTCACTCTCCTCTGCCCTGTCTTTGGGCCTGAAGAATACTGATGGCACCGAAAGCATTGAAACAATAGTCAAAACCTCATCTACACAGCCCAACTGTTCACCCATCAAAAGCATCTTAGCAAGAGGGGGATCCAATGGGAACTCCACCATTTTCCATCCAAGGTCGGTCAAGCTTCCAACATTGTTAAGAGCACCCAAGACCCATAATTGGTACATAGAATTTAGGATATTGTCTTGAGGAGGCGGATCCATGAAATCAAAATCAAGTAAGTTCTCAACTTTCAGAGATTTGAGCAACAAGACAACATTTCCAAGGTTGGTCCTTTGGATCTCTGGCACAGGACTGGGCAACATCTCGTTTAGGTATGCACTTTCTGTGTACAACCGATAACATGTACCTGGCCCAGTTCTTCCAGCTCTTCCAGCACGCTGGTCAGCAGCAGCACGACTGACAGGGAATACTTGCAAGGCATCCATACCCATCCTAGGATTGTAGACCTTCATTTTTCCATATCCCGTGTCAATGACATACAATATTCCATCTACTGTCAAAGACGTCTCAGCAATGTTGGTGGCCACAATACACTTCCGAGCTCCATCTTCAGCTTTTTCAAATATTTTTGCTTGCAAGTCAGCTGGAAGCTGTGAATATATGGGGAGTATCAAGAGCTTTGGAACTGCTTTCTTTGTGGATGAGATAAGTTGTTCCATGCGTTCCGCCAAGGAATAACAAGCTGCCTCAATTTCATCTTGGCCAGTCATAAAAATGAGAACATCGCCTGGAGGGCTAGTAATATGAATAGTCATAGCTTGCTTCACTGCACCTTCAACATAATCTTCACACGGGCTTTTGCTGTACAATGTATTAACAGGAAATGTTCTCCCGGGAATGTGAAATATTGGAACACTGCAACACATTCAGAAATTAATTACATTCAGCAGGTTGATGCCAAAGATGACCGCAAGATCAAAAGACGAGGACAAAAGATTACCTTCCGAAAAAATTTGAAAATTTTTGTGCATTGAGAGTAGCAGATGTCACAATGAGCTTGAAATCACGACGCTGGGCAACAACCTTTTTCAAAATTCCAAAAAGAACATCTGTACTCAGTGATCGCTCATGGGCTTCATCCATCACAATGACCCTAAAATAAAAAATAAAAAAAAGACCAATAAAATAATGACTTTGTTTGGTTGCAATAACCAATCAAGTGTAAAAACAATTAAATATACAATTCACAATTACCTATACTTCTCAAGATCAGCATCCTTAAGTGTCTCACGCAGAAGTACTCCATCCGTCATGTACTATAAGCAAGAAATAGACAGAATAAACATGTAGTATTATAAAAGTGTAAGTGACAACCTCTGAAACAATTTCTGCATCTATAAAGAAGGGGGGGAACAAAAAAACAAAAAACTTAAAAACTTCGAAATAAGACTGTAGAGGTTTGTGTTACCAGTAATTCAATAACCACTATGAATAATGATTGCCTATGGGGACATGTCAACAAATATTGTTCTAGTGAGCTTATAGGAAGAGATGAAGAGGGGAAATGAACCTTTATTATAGTATTTGGCCCTGTCACATCCTCAAAACGAATAGCATAACCAACTTTATCACCAAGCTCAGTCTCCATCTCCTCACTGACTCTTTTTGCAACACTCATTGCTGCCACACGCCTAGGTTGGGTGCATCCCACAATCCCATTTGTAGTGTAGCCATCTTCATGTAAATACTGTCCCAAAAAAAAAAATCACAAGTCAAATGCCAATTGATGAGATACACACACCACCCTCAAAAACCTTAACAAATGCACAACCATTTTGGTTGCAACAAAAAGAAGTGTAGGTGAACCTGCGTCAATTGAGTTGTCTTTCCTGAACCAGTTTCTCCAACAACGACAATGACCTGATTTTCACGAACTACCTGTAGAATAAAAGTTCAAAACAGACTAAAAAAGTGCACAGCAAGACATGTGTGCATGCATCGATGCAAATGAACTCATCTATATATCATAGGCTCGGTGCTCAAAAGTATATGAAAGGCATAACCAACTGAAACCAAAACTAAAAATTCAAGTTCCTTCCAAATTCCAATACATATAATCAGAATAAGTTGAATAACATTACACCTGCAGTAACTCATCCCGAACTGAGTAGATGGGCAGATACTGCCGTTGCTGTGACAAGGTTTTTGTCTTTGCAAAGTCACTCACAGCTTCCCCCTTCTTCAAATGTTGTGCAAACTTTGCTTCTTCCTTGAAATCAATTTCACCATGTTCTCCTACAGCTGCGGTATCTGCATCAATCTGATAAATGATTGAAATCATTAGCGTTGGGCAATAAGGGATGATTTAAATTTACAGCCTCATCTCTAAAGTAAAATACCTGCTCCGCCGTTTTCTCAACGCCGAGGATATCACCAAGTTTGGAGCCTGCAAGCTCCCAAAAGCGCTGGCGTGATTTGTTCATACTTTGCTTCTCATGGATTTCCCTTACTAGAGCGGATCCTTTGCGTGAAATTATAGCCATATCAGATGTAGAATCCTTTATTGGCATTATTGGCTCTGCTTGCTTAGTAAAAACAACCCTCCCATCAAGGAACGGAGGTTTCGTATCTGGCACAACAGTAGGTAAAGGACAGTTAGTTTTCTGAGATAGTGACTTCTTTGCAGTAGTTGCAAGTTAAATCATATTACAGTGAACTAGGATGTCTAACTGTAAATTTTCTTACCATGTACAAGAAGAATGACCTTGCGTTCATCTTCATCATCAAACTCAGTCTGTACCTCAGTGCCACGAACAGCACCTGACCTCAATAGTTGTCTGTCTTCCCACTGAGCATTATCAGCAGTGCGTTGAGACAACTTTTTGCTTTGAGAAAGTGACATCTTAGTTCCATCTTTCCGCACCTGTCCCAAAGATATAAAATTATGTAAGGAGGGTGAAAACAATAAACAGATTTGGAACGTTTAAGATATAACAGGAAAAAAAGTAGTGTTTTATAAAATTAGAAAGACAATGAAGTAAATCAAAGTACCAAAGATGAAGAGTAGTTCTTAAAAAAAGCATAATTGTCAAATACGTTCCATTTAAATTCATATTAGAGGCAGTATACAGAATCACAACTGTATCAGCATAAAGAAAAAAAAAATAGAACTTGATTCCCATGCACAATTCAATATCCCGTGTACACCAAGGAGGAAATAATTCAGACAAATCAATAAATATACAAGACAATCTAACATACCAGTCTTTTGGCTAACTCTGCTTCTTTCTTTTGAAATGAAGCTTCGTCTCCGAGAAAAAATGATGAGCTATCAGTATCAAACATTGCGTTACCTTCTTCTCTGTCATACCTATATAGCAAGTAAACAAGATTATGTTAGAGTTAGCAACTGTCTTGCCCCTCGAAATTTCATAATCCTCATGCACACACACATTGAACATTACCATGCACGGTCAGCATCATATTCCATCTCTAAGCGCATACTTTCAGAAATCTCATACTTGTGTTCTTCAGCTGAATCATTCTTTCCCATTCCTTCATCCTGTAGACATTGACAAGGCCAACATGGTAAATTTATAGCATGTTGAAAAAATAAATAACAATAAAATCGTGCAACTCTATGACAAAGAACAATATCCAACTCCCTTTTCCTGAACAAAGAAAAGACAAGGAATAATATCTCATTTCCATGAATGAATGGATGCTAACTGGCTGTTGAAGTTTCCAAGATTTTCCAATACTAATTTACCTCGTACGATTGTGAAGCTTCTGCAGAAAAAGGCTGATAGGACCTCCCATTGTGTCTAGAACTTGAAGTCCTGACTGAAGATCCAGAAGCGCGTATTGGAACTGGGGATGGTGAGACATGGTCCCAGGCAGAAGCATTAGAACCTGCATCAAACCCAAGGTCAATCTATCTGCCTAAACTAATATAATCCGAAACAATAGCTAGTTCCATCATCCAAGTAACGCACCAGAAGAATGAGGGGTATGGCCACCTAACCATGGGGATACAAGTCTTGCATCAGGTGAGGCCCCAACCAGCATAGGGGATGGTGAAGGTTGATGGCGCCTGCTAGAACTAGAGTAGCCATCTCGACGGGGTGTATCTTCCCATTCCCATTTCCCATCATCCCAGTCAGATCTGCCTGAAGTATTTGACCATTTTGAAAGTAAAATCAGTAATAACGTGTGTTTCTACAAATAACAAAAATTTATACGAGTCAAAAGTACTCAGACATGTTTGCTAAATATTTAAATAATATGCAACTGTACAGCTGGATAATATATATAATCAATAACAAATCTTTGGAACAACTGCATGACAAAAAAATTTGCTCATTTGGTACCGCAGTAGCAAAATGCAAATGTATGTTTATGCTTTATTACCACTGTATCTCAGAACTTAGAAGTCAAGGAAACACAGAAATACATACCAGATCCCCTCTTTGAACTTTCATATCTACTTCGCTTTCTTCCATAATCTCCACCATACCCTTGTTCATATCTGCCAGATGTTTCCCTACCATAAGAATGATAGTTCTCATCATTACTATGTCTGTGGATTACCCTCCTGTTGTCAGATCTGTCATCCCTGTAATCCCTTCTTTCACCGCGACGGTCATCCCTGTCATAGCGCACCTTGTAATCTCTACCACGGCCATCTTTGTCGTCCCTATACCTTCTTCTCTCACTAACATAGTCATCCATTTCATACCTAGGGCTCCTTGACCGTATGCTCTGAGAACCCTGCACATATATGAACAAAACCTTAATTCAAACACAATATATGGAGCATATCAAAATTGATAATGTCTAAAAAGGTCTTAATCACCAAGATTCCTAATTATAAGATATTAAAATCAAACTGAATAAGCAGAAGAAAAAAGTTGGACCCACAAACAAATGAAGCAAATTTGAGGCCTTTAAAGTAAATAAGCAATGAAAGAGAGCACACAATACTAATACCGGCGATAAAATAGCACTTGGTCAAAAATTAAAAACTTTCTTGTGTTTTTTTTTTTTTTTTTGCAAGAAGGTCAAAATATAAACTTACGTCTGAAGGTTTATGTTCTCTGACTTGTTCTTCTTCTGTTACTGTACTTTCTGCAGTCAAGGATTCCAATTTCATCAGGGCACCAAAAGATCAATAGAAAAAAATATGAGAAAACGCCATAAAAATAACAAGGTAATAATATGTATATAGACTGCAGAGTATTATTGTTTTATAATTCAAAAGAAAATTAATAAAATAAAAAAGAAGCCGCCAATTAATCCTATGCCTATGGACGTCAACAATCTAATTTCTCCAGTTTTTGTAACCATAGAATCCAATACATTTTATATCATGTGTGTCTCCTTCAAACATCATCTCAATATCAAAACCCCATGAAGCACGCCATATATTTTCAATGATAATCTTAACCTAAGAATCAATGAAAGCCAAAACCCAAAAAGGAGTAATGGCTGCCATGAATAGGGCTAAAAACCAAAAACAAACCAAGAACTACAAATGTATCTATAACTAATAAATTGTAACTTCCAATCCTTAAATTCAGATGAATGCTAGTCCAATGGAGAAAACTCATCTTTCCCCTGCCAAATAAAGAAGGCGGGTTGTCCCATCCAAACAGGTATAGGGCGCGGATTAATACATTAACAACACTACAATTGTGATCTGCGGATGAATTTTACTTATCATCTAATAATACATTTGTAAATTAATTAGAATAGGCATCAACTTTTGAAATCTATAGCTAATTATTTCATAAAACTTGGGAACGTTTTCTTAAATAGAACAGGACATATAACCAAACTACAATCAATTCATAACAATCTAAAGATGTCGGTCGGTAACAAACCAAAACCAAAAAACATACCTCTATCCAGTGTCTCATCCATGGCCACTTCACGATATCGCCTGCTAGCAGGATTACGTTTACCAGAGAATGTATTACTCCCAGTTTCGTCTGTTACAGTGGATCCATTGTTCTCCTCTTCCTCCATAGATGCCACAAGAGAAGAAACTCTATCTCTCGGGACTTTAAAGCCGCCATCAACCTTCGACTCTCCCCGCTTTGCATTAGCTAGGACATCAAGCCCTATTATATTCACAAATTAGAACAAAAAATCGTAAAGAAACTTCATTAACTTGACTTGCCAAATTCTTCCAGTTAGCATCAAACGAGTACTGCACAAGAAACTACTTCAAACAAACAACAAAGAAAAAGTGTGAATAAAATTTATACCTAGTATGGATTTCCTCTCGGGAGGTTTAAATACAACTCTGTCCTTCCCGGGAAGGTACAAACCCCCATTGCTGCTCTTCTCAGCTTCCAAAGTGACCGTAGTCTTGTCAAGATCAATAGTCTCAGCAATCCCTTGCTTCTTCTGAAAGAATCAAAAAATGAACATCAACAAAAATTTCCATGTCTATCTCAGAAAAGCAGCGTTTATATTTCCAAAGAAAAAAAAAATACAAACCTCCATTATATAGTTGAAGAAACCATATACTGAACAGCACTACAAAACTGGCACCTGCATATGGAGCGAAAATGTAAGTGAAAAACAATTTCCAAAAAATTCTTAAATTCAAACAGGTTTTCGTAAAAATAAAGTGCCAAACTTTCGTTACAAATCAAAAAGAAATGAAAAAAAAAAAAAAAAAAAAACCAATTACAAACCCTAGAGAGCTCAGATCAGCAAAATCTACGAGTACAAAAAGTTCATACAAAAATTTGAGTGCAAAAAACCCTAACTTCATCCACCAAAAAAAAAAAGATCGGCGAATACAAGGACATCTGAAAACTCTGATTTGGGAAAAACCTAATTGGATTTCTCGTCTCGAATCAATTTCCTACTTTTTCAAATATGCCTATCAGAAATCTGAAGTAAAATAAGGCCTAATTAAGTGTGAAAAAAGGGTAAAAAATGATAATAAAAACCAAACCTTGTCGATTTCTTTCTCTTTTGAGGGATTAGAATTTCAATTTCTGGTGCTGTTTTTACGTTTTGCAGGTCGGTCGTTTGGGGGATGGGAGTGGGGAACGAGAGTGGACGAGGAGGAGGATGAGGAGGAGAGTTTATTTGGAGCACGTGCAATGCACATGCGTTAAGTTAAAAATAAGTGTTATCTATTATCCCCTTTTAACTTTAAAAATATGTTTATTACATGTTCTTTTATTTTATTTTTTTAATGAACTTTACTGCGTTTCAAATAACAAAAGCTAAGGGGTTGTTCTTTTGCAACAAAACTCAAAAAAAGTTTAAACTCAAGTTATAATTTTATTCAAGTTCACGTTTTTTTAAGTTCTAACTTTATTCAACTTTACTCAACTTACAATTTTAACTCAAATTATAACTCAAATTTAACTCAAAAATTACACTCTAAAAGAACAACCCTTAATTTTTTTACAACTGATCTATAGGATATAAAAATAAGTTTATTATAGTCCCTGTAAAAATATGTTTATTATGAGTTTTTATCAGAACATGAAAACATATCCCCATTTACTTTTATATTTATTTTTATTTTAATGAACTTTATTGCTTCCAATGACGAAAGGAAATTTTTTACTTATGTCAAAATAAAAAAAGGGTAACATTTTTACAGATGTTTTAGGATATTTTAACTTACACCAAATACATGCCATTTCCTACAGTTTTTCATTAAAAAAAAAATATATATATATATATACATATTTATATGAAATCGAAAAAAAAAAAAATAAGAGGGTTATTTGTAAGCTTCCCATATAACTAAGTGAATTCTCAAAAGTAAGAGGATGTTTGGTACCTAGATTCGTTTTCTGAATCGAATCATAGTTCGTAGTTCGCTACAGTCTTTTCTCTCACAAAAAATACACGTAAATCGAAAATAATTTTAATCACATGATTTTAATCCATAAACCAAACGTGTTCTAAATTTCATACATTACCGGAGGTTAGATATTTGAATTAAACAACAATTCCTTTACGCAAGTACGTTGTCGTTTATGTCAATATACTACGTGTCGTTTCCCTTTGTAAAACGAATAACATGTCGTTTAAAAAGACTAACATTTTGGAGGGAACATAAATTGACATTATTTCAAGCACATTCTTCCGAGATTGGTGGTACACAGAATTAAAAATTTAAATTACAAAATGAAGCCACTTCTGATTTGTAACAGAAGAGGAAGAACATATGTATAATCAAAATAATAATCCAAAAACTGCTAGACTTTTGAAGGAAAAAAAAAATGGAGGTTGGTCAGGAATAATAAGTTGGCCTTTCAAAAGATCATCTTGAATATCATTGAGCTCGAGGAAGATCCCGAACGGCTGCCAAAACCATGTCCAATTCAACATGAAGCAAAATGCTGACTAAGTACTGCCCTCTTGAAAATCCAAGAAAACTTTTGAACAAGTTCTCGTTAAGTCCATTCTAAAAGTCTCATCTCATTATCACGTTCCAATCCTTTCAAGATTTTCCGAGATGGTTTTCATCCGAGGCCGAATCTCAGGGTCTGCCTCGGTACAAGCCAGGGCCACATGAAACGCCGCAATCACCTCCTTCTTTGCATGCACTTCCTGGAGCAACATTGGGTCGACCATGTCCGAAAGCGGGTTTTCCTCCTCGAATCCCTTCCGCACCCACCTCACGAGGTCAGGAACCTCCACCGACGTCGACGTCGTCGGGGAGAGCTCTGGAGACTTACCGGTGAGCAATTCGAGCAAAATGACTCCAAAGGAATACACGTCCCACTTTTGCGTCGGCCTGCTGCCGGGAACACGAGCCTCGGGGGCTCGGTAGTTGTTGGTTTTCTCTGTTTGGACGGACTGCAAGTAAGGAAGAGCTCCGCCAATGAAGCCTCCTGAGGAGGGGTTGTTGCCTGTTATGCTGATGAGTCTGTTGAGTCCGAAATCGGAGATGTGGGGTTGGAATTCGTTGTCGACGAGGATGTTGGAGGGTTTGATGTCTCCATGGACAAACTTTCTGGGGCTGCACTCGTGGAGGTACGCCAATCCCCGGGCTGTTCCCTTGGCGATTCTCAGCCTCGTAGCCCATGAGAGGCTCGTTGATGGCTGACCATTTCTGCCTGTCATGTAGAGTCAAAAGTTTCAATTCAAGGGTCATACACTGCTAGATTAATCACAAATTTTTCACCAACTACATAAATAAATACTGATATGGTACGAGTGGAGACCATTGAATCACATTATAACTATCTTTATACGTATATGTAAATTTAAAGTAAATGACTAAAACGGTCCAAAGCTGGTAAAGTATTTTTTGTGTCATGCCATAAAAATTGTCTGAAAATAAAATAGAAATGTTCCATCCAATATGCCCATTCATGGGGTAAAGGGCAAGTAACTTATAAGCGTCGCAACCGTATCGACCTATTCAGGCTATAGATTGGATGGTAGAAAATTAGCACAAAGGTTTGATTTTGAGAAAAAGGAGAAGCCTTTCGTTTCTTATGAGTAACAAAAGTTGCATTTTTTGACGCTTTTGATTGATGCTTGAAAGCCAAAAAAAAATTCCAGAAAAGGCAAGAACGTAACTCGAAGCAAATTCCAAAATAAATTTTATACCAGAAAAGACAAAGAAAAGAAGAGACGCAACAAATAAATTAATAAATATTAGAAATAAATAAAGAACGATAGAGCGGATGATTACAAGGCCGAAAAGCCATGGTGGTCTACAGCATTTATTAAAGAGAGATGAGAACGCCGAAAACAATACTCCTGGATCAGTATTATTATTATTATATGGCCCCACCCAACATGCTGTAAACGACCTCTAGAGATGCTCAAGACCCTCAGCCACGTGGGCATGGAAAGAAGTTTGTGGGACCACTTTGTTTATTAGATCTCACGCCAGGTGAGACTCGTGCCACCTAATTTACCCGCAGTTAAGTGCCTTTCAAGACAGTTGTGCTACGATTGGGAATTTCTCTCTTTTTTGACTTGTAACAAAGACAGAAAGGTAAGATTTTAAACCAAAAAGCATCCACAAAAATTTGCCTTTTTTGAGGCATAGATTTGCGTTTTCGGATTTAGCATTGATTTTGTTAACTGATTTCAGGAAAATATAAAGAAGATTTAAATACACTGACTGAGCAATGGAAGCAGAGCACAATTTCTCATATATATACACCGAAAGCAAGAAACTTTGGGATTGCAAAAGAGAAAGAGACTGAGCCCATCCAATCCATCTACCCATGCGTGCCATCAATGCCAAGTTCATGATTAGTAATTAATGATTAGTTTATTTACACCTCCAAACTCTCATTAAACCCAACCAAAAAAAAAACAAAACAAAACAAAAACACAGTCCTACTATAGTTAACGCCTAAATAGATAATTCTAGGCACAGCTGTAAGCAGCAAATTCGCAATTAAACCGAACAAAGACTGAGACTCCGCCCTACCAGTGCTCTTAACCAAAAATAAAAACTGCCCAGAATCGCTAACAAGCTAGAAAAAGACAATCAAAGCAGACACAAAACAACAATATACCAACAAAGAAAAAAAAAGAAACATTTTTGCTTTATAAAAACCGGAGAGAATTCTCTTTTATGAGGTATGAAAAAAAAATGGATTCTATCAATTATTTAGATCACACAACTCTAATAATAGAACTTAACAAAATTCTAAAGATAGGAATTGTTTTTTATTTTTATACTTGACTAAAAATTGTCAAGAAAAAATAAAGGGAGCAAATAAAACGTACCACGAAGAGCAGTGCCCAAGTTGCCATTGGAAACGAAATCACTAATAAGAAGCTTCTCATCGGGAGCCCAATAGTAGGCTCTAAGCTTGACAATATTTGGATGTTTGACCTTCCCAATGGCCTGCACCTCCGCCGCAAACTCCTTATACCTCTGGTCGCCGCCCTCGCCGAGGCGCCTTACCGCCACCGGCACGCCATTCCCCAACACAACCTTGTACACAATCCCCAACCCACTCTTCCCCAACACATAAGCAGACGCTCTCAGCAGCTCATCAAGCTCAAACGTAAATCCTTTGTCAATTGCCACCAAATCCCCACCACCACCGCCTCCTTTCCCGCTCTCGGCCTTGTCATGATCCTCCATTTCCGAATCCTCGTTCCCAAAACTGCCAACACAAGGACACGAACACAAATGTGTCTTCTCGTTGTCCCCGAACTTCCTCTTCCCCGTACAGCTACATCCATTGGCATTGTCCTTTTTCTTCCAGTAAATGTAAACGATTATCAGACCGATAAAAGCCACCCCGGCCGCGTCGGCGAAGGAGATTAGAATTATCACGCCTGGGCTCAGGCCCTTCTTGGGCGGCCCATTATTGGATTCCCGGGCCGAATTTGGTCTTCCCGGGGAGCTCTGAGCCGTGTTCCGACACGGCTTTTGGAGAGGGAAGCCGCATAGCAGAGGGTTATCGAGGAAAGCCGTTGGGCCTTGGTTCGAAAACGACCCCGTTTCGGGTATCTTTCCGCTGAGATTGTTGTGCCGGAGATCGAAGCTCACCGTCACCGGTAAGTCGCCGAGCGACTTCGGGAGCTTCCCGGAGAGGTGGTTGGAGGAGAAGTTTAGTGTTCCGGAGAGGGATTTGAGGTCGCCGATGTCGTCGGGGATCGGGCCGCTGAGTTCGTTTGAGGAGAGGTCGAGCTGGACCAGATTCTCCATATCCGACCAAATTCCGGTCGGAATTTCTCCGGAGATTTTGTTCCTGGCGAGGATCAGCCTCTGCAACTGCTTGCATTTCTTGAGCACGCCGGGGATTTCGCCGGAGAGCGAGTTGTTGGAGAGATCGAGGTTTTGGATCCTCGGGAGGGTGCAGATCGAGGGGGGAACAGGACCGGAGAGGTTGTTACCGTAGAGGAAGATGCTGTGGAGAGAGGTGGCGTTGAAGAGCTGGGAAGGAATGGAGCCGTGGAAGTTGTTGCTGTGGAGGTTGAGTCGCCGGAGAAAGAGGAGAGTGCCGAGCTCCGACGGGATGTAGCCGCGGAGATTCTTGCCGGAGATGGCGATTCCGACGACGCGTGGATCGGGGTAGCCGGTGATGTTCATGCAGGAAATGCCGGACCAGCGGCAGGGCGTGGCTTCGTCCTCGTTCCAGTCGGAGAAGGCCGAGCCGGCGGAGTCTTGGTCGACGGCCGATTTTAGAGAGAGGAGAGAGAGGCCGTCGGGGGTGAGAGAGAAAGTGAAGCTCAGAAGAATCTGGAACTGAACGAGGAAGAATATCAGGATCATCAAATTGTTCTTGTTCTTGTTCTTCCTCATCACTTATCAAAGTGGCCGCGACAGTTTTTCTTCTTTCTGTCTTTCCAAGGACAAAGGAAGAGCGAACTCGTTTGACGTTTGTGAAGTTGGTCTTAGAGAGAGAAAGAGTGGAGAGAGAGAGAGAGATATGTGCGTGTAGGGGTCGAAGGTGGTTGGGACTTGGGTGGGGAGGTATTTATGAGAAAGAGACTTGGGAAGGACGAGATTTTGATTGGCGGGGCCCACCTCCCGCCAAAAAGAGGATAGCAAAGACCCCAACGGAAAGGGGAAGTAGAAGAAAAGCAATGCCCACTTCTCTGCCTCTATTTCTCTCTCTAATGTATATTATACTTTCGTCAGGTACATATAATTGCATTAAAACTCTTCATTTGGAATATAAGTTGTCTTGTGGGATCTTTTTGTTGTTTGCAAAATTATGTACTTTCTTCTTTTGTTGGTTGTCACTAATATCCCATTTTTTTTTTCTTAAGCACGAGGGTGTGTTTGGTAAGAAGATTTGTACTGTGATTTAAATTATGATTCATAATTCGTTATAATATTTTCTCTCATAAAAAATACACGTAAATTAAAAATGATTCTAATCTCATAATTTTAATTCATGAACTAAACGTCTTTAGTAATTGTGTCATAGAGAATAAAAAATGAAGAGCAATGCTATATCTCTTCTTCATATTCAAAAAGTAGGGTCCTCGTGAGGCTTACGGTGGAACCTCCCGCTCATTGTGTTTACGTTAAAGTATAAAATTTTTATTTGTACACTTTTTAACAGTTTAAGATTTTATAATAGATTGATAAATTAATATAATATTAGAGTGAGAGGTTCTGAATTTAAACTCCTGTAATTGTATTATTTATCTCTATTTAAATAAAATTATTATCAATTCACCGTTTAACAGTTTAAATTTTTAGGATGAATTGATTAACTAAACAGTCTAATGAGGATCGGACATTTTAGCATTTTTCTAAAATGAAATGAAACTTCCACTGTGTTTCTTTTTTCCTATTAGTGAAATTCTGCTGTGAATCTTCATGTGATAATTGATCAAAAGGAATCCCACTGCAATGTTCTAGCTGTGACAGATTCTAATTTGTATTGTCTGATTACTTGACCCCATATGGAAAGTGCGGTTCTCACTTTTGACTGTTGGAATTATATTATCTGATTGTCAGGCGTGAAATTATTTTTGTATACTCTGTCGTTTCTTTTCTTCCTGTCATTTCTCTTCCTCTATTTTTGTGTCAGTGTCGTAACTGTGTGCAAATAAAATCACCCAAATTATTAGTGGCTGAGAAGAAGAATCTTCAAAATTACACCCAAGTCCAATTCACGGGACCAGATAAATTGTCAGTTTCTCAAAACCAACGCAAGCTTTTTTGTTTTTTCTTTTCCTTCCTTACCAACATGCAAGACAATGATATACTTTTTCAATATATTTATGGGCACTATCAAATCGGTTAATTTGAAATGTGTAATAAATTGTTTTAAAAGAATTAATACGTATGGCCTTCAAAAGTTTGGTGGCATGTAACCAATAACTTACGGCAGCTACATTTAAAAAGTGACTACCATAATGTAGTTTGTACTCCGCAGAGGAGATGCCCTATTTTAGACGATTCAAATGATAACTCATAATAATGTCATAGCAATTAAAGGCATGTTCTTTTATAGCGTAATTTTTTAGTTGAATTTAAGTTATAACTTGAGTTTAAGTTATAACTTGAATAAAGTTGAATAAAATTAAAACTTAAAAGAACATGAATTTGAATAAAGTTAGAACTCGAGTTGTATTTTTTTGAATTTTTTGGACAAAAGAACAACCCCTAAGTTTCTACTTAGGCCCCGTTCACTTCGCTTATTCGAGTTTAGAATTTGAGTTTTTCTACAGTAAAAAACTCTCACATAAAATTATATTTAAACTCGAATCAGCGAAGTGAACGGAACCTTAATTTATGAAATTTCCGTTATCGTTGACACGTACAGGAGATAACCAACCGACTTTCTTGTTTGGAAGAAGAGTTTTTTTTTTTTTTTTGGCGAGTTGGGTGTTCGGACAAATCACCATCCCACAACCAACGCCACTTGCATTTCCACTCTTAAAAGGGCTCTCTTATTGATGACTTCTATTTCACATTCTTATTAGGCAGTACCCTCCTTTTTCTTCTCCGAGTGTCTGTGAGTGATTCCAAATTGTACAGCAGCAAGTGGGGTTTTAACATTATTGCCTTATAAAAAAGATAGGGGGCTGATTATTTTATCGTTGAGTGAAAATGTGCGTCATGATTTATTTATCTTATTCTCAATCATGAAATTATGCTTAGAAGCTAACTAAACAGAGAGAGAGAGAGAAATAGAGTGAATGTTTTTGTCCAGCTTGTTATTAGGTGTAGTTATACTTGTGTCTTGTTTTGGGTAGTTGAAGACATTGGAATCCAATTATCTTTCTTCCTTACTTCTCTTGATTTATATTTTACCATTTTGGATATGAAATGGGGATTCGCATGTGATGCCATGACATGGTATAATAGAGCACTATCGAATTGGATAAAATGCCAATAAGCCTAACATATATATATATATCTCAGAAAAAGAGAGAAAAACACTTTCAATGATAGATTGTCCCTATTCATGGTGTATGTTTTTTAACACCAAAAATTTAATCAAAATCACCCGAGAAAATAGACAACCGACAAATATAACAGTTCAAAATAAAATTCTATCTTTCATATTCCATCCTAAATTTTATTTTTTATTTTTTTTACATTATGTCTCTATTTACCTGCATTGGCACGCTATTTTATGAACCTGGGACAACCCTTTTTTAAAAAAAAAAAAAAAAATGATTTGAACTTTATTACTTTCAGGCAGCATTTATAAATCTGTAGTAATGATCACTTTTGTTTCATTCACCCTTTTAGTTAAGAAGGAATCATAAATGACCTTCTACAGACTATATTAGCAGACAAAAATGAAAAGAGTAGGAGTAGAAAAACAAAATTCCTTTACTTCGTATTCAAGGGATTTAAGTGTTGTTAGTATTTAGCGAATTGCAACTCTAGTCAACGTTTGGTATTTCTGATTGTTCAACATGTTCATGAAGAACGTGGGGCCCCATTACCACAAATTTTGTTGAATGATTGCCTTCTTCTTCATCCTTTCCCTACTGAATTACTGATCAGTGAAAAAGACTTCGGCTGAGTTAACTAACCATCTTACATTCTCGGCCTTTTGTGAACTAAACTCAAGACAAAATCATCAGTCTATGACTTCAGCCGTTAACCAACAACCAACCATTGAAATAAAACTCCCCAACTCAACTTCGAAATCAACTAACGAACACGGACAAACTCAAGTTCGAAATCCATATTGATTCAACTAGACATCTCATTAGTTATTACAAAGTCCCAACAATAGTTCCTCCACCCACTCACTATTCCATGGAGTCTGCATTCTCCGCCATAGAACCACCAAAATATTTCTTCTCCTTAAAATGCCCGGACCATATAGATGGAATCATCCATAACAAAATTCGAGCCTAAAATCTCTCACCTATGACTACTTGTTGGCACATTCAACATATTTCTCATGTCATTGAAACTGCAAAAGTCGCTGCAACACTAAACATGCACAAAGAGCACGACAGCAAAATCCATGTATGAACGTTCAATGAGGGCCATTAGCATGAATAAGAAATAGTTTAAGCGAAGTTTGATTCTAAGAACTCTGGGGCATCAGAGACAAGAAGCTACTAAACAATCGATTGTATATGAAAATATCATAATATGGTAGCGCTTTTACAAAACAACTTGGATAATCTTAGTCCTGTAGATGAAATATTCCACGGAGCATAACACAAGTAAAGAAAATTGTGGCTTCTTTGACATGTTTTGGATGCCGTCTCTTGCATCAGAAGCAACTCAAACCTGGTCCAAATGGTGAACAACTCTATGCCCCAGATACTTCAGCCATTTCTTGTTCTACTGTCCCTGCAGTTACTGGATAGTATTTGTAGTGAAGTTCTCCGACATCATCACCAGATAGTTTCTTCCAACCGTCTGGCCCCACATAATAAACTGATAAGAAACAAGTCCCCACAAGTAAATTCATTAGTCTAAGTACTTTACCAGGCCAATATATATATATATATATATATATATAGAGAGAGAGAGAGAGAGAGAGAGAGTACCGCTAGCAACTCCACCACTAGCTCCATCACGGAATGTAGCATGATAAATAGCCCTTCTAGCCAACTCAGCTGCTTCATGAACTGACATATCATAACGATATCTAAGTGTCCCAAAGCAAGAAAACAACAAAATAAACAAATGTGAGAACACACATTCAACTCAACATAAATGGAAATTTGATACTACGGTTACAAATGAAGAAAAACAAAATATCAATGCAAACATTTGAAAGTAACTATACTAGTTCAATGAAGGAAAGTGAATTAGTTCCTTTTTCATTTACAATACTCGAATAGATTCACTTTTTAGTGATATTGCCAATTGCTTCTAGCCTATTTTATGTCTAATTATTTTCATCATGTCATAATCAGGGAAAAAAATGCATTCTAGCTGGTTATGTTGCTCATCTCATAGAAAAATAGTCAAAGAATCATCTTTTGTTTCAACAACAGCACAAAGGACATATATTTGAAGTCAATATTACAACATAGGTCATCATAACTAAGATCGACAATGTAAAAAATAAAGGGGAGAATGCAGACCCATCATCCAATACACCATAAGCATAAGGGGAACCAGATCCAACTGAAAATCGTGTCCCTTTTAGCCTTCCTCCTTCACTGTCCACGTAATATAGTCCAGGACCCTGCGGCCCAAAACAAATGAAAGTTACATCCTTAAAATGGAAATTGTGCCATTCTGATTTCTGAGATATTAGCTTTAAGTTTTTGTTACCGTCTCATCCCATCCCGCAATCATGGTCCCAACAGACAGACCCATGCCACGGTACGAGTACAGAATGTTGGCCAACAGCTTTGATGCCCCTGTAACTGAAATTCTGCGCTTGTTTGCTAATTCATGCAGGCGGCACTAACCATGCCAAGAAATTTTCTGTTAGAAATTGATATAAAAAGAGAAGCAAGTAACATGTTTTCACATGTCATTCTAAACAGCAAAAAAAAATGGTCGAGACACAACTGCAAAGATGCAATAACTGGACCAGACCAGAGGGTTGGATTATTTTCCATTGCCAGGTAAAAGGAGAAATAAGGTAGCGACTTCGTATTAGGCCAGCCAAGTGCTTGAGAAAACATGCCTAAGCTCTACTTAAAGTAGTTAAAAAATTGTGGGCAATATCTTCATTTTACATAATGATGGTAAGCAAAAAGGAAAGAGAATAAAATAAAATAAAAACAAAATTGATTCAGCCATAAATTAATGATTGCTGTCCTTGAAATCATTGGAAAAACTGCAACTCCTTAAGAATAAGAAGTAAACAAGATATCGAGAATACAAGTTCATTAATATCTGTAGATTATTTTAGTTTTTTCAAGAATATTACTTTCTCTATACATAAAGCACCGTGTTAAAAGTAAAGCACAACCACACAAAAAAGAGGAGAACTACAGTCAGCCGTAGAACATGTTCTTTCGCTAAACAACATAAAATTGAGAACTTATAAAACGAGAAAACAAGAACAGTACACTACCTTAATCCCAAGATTTCTGTGCCAGAATTGGCAGTCAGCTGCTCCTCCGGCCATTGTGCCAAGCATGTAAGGATTTATTTCAATGATTTTCTTTACAGACTGCGATGCTGAAAAATTAGGAAGAACAGTAACTTTAATCTATGCAACATTACATTCAACACAAAATATCGTGAATACACTAGCCACGGATATCTATAATTGAAGTATCAAAGCCCTCTAACCTAGCGTGTGACAGGTCCTAGAACCAAAGATAAGGCCAACAAGATCGCTCTTATATAAACACATAAGGATTTTCATTCACAATTTAAGTCTATCATCTGGCTGTTCAATAATGAATAACGTTGAAGTGTGAAGAAATCGCATCTTTATAGGCACCAGAGTAATGACGCCATAAGAGATGCATGGAAAGAGTACCAAATTTACGAAAACAAATAAAGTGTTACACCCAAGCAAGCCAAGCACACATACATATATAGCCTCCCATGCTAGCACGAGAATCAGCAGCAACCATGACACCCTCCTTGAAAATGAAAGCGAGTGTGGTCGTTCCCTTCGCCGGCTTCACCATCTGGACCGCCTCTTTCAGAAACCCGTCAAGCTGAAACAGAGGAAAAACAAGGTTTACGACCCAGTTAAATAGCACTATTTCAGTGTCATAAAAAACCCAGTTAGGAAAACGTACAAACAAATCCCAAACTCACATCAACATTACTAGGAAGATCAAACGATGGGGCAGTAGATAACCCATCATGAAACTCATTGCTCGCCCCAAAAAGCGATGCAGTTGACTCCAAACCACTAGTGTCGAGCTTCATATTTAAAATCCTGCAAAACAAAGGCCATGAACCAACAGCAAAGTTTTACCCAATAATTAAACTATAAAACAGCCGAATCTGAATTCTAACCTCTTCAATTTCTGAATTTTGCTAATTTTTCTTTCGGGGACGGGAAAAAAAAAGGGAAAGATCAAATAGAAACCGTAAATGCTTCTATTTGGATTAATCGAGTACAGATTTCTGTTTCAGAATTCCCATGAACGAAAACTCTTAAACCTCAAAAACCCTAATCTATTTCTCCATATACGATTGGAGTGGATCGAATGCGAAACCCTAAAAATGGAAATTTGTTCTTCTGTTCACGAGTTGAGTCATAAATGGGCATAAAATTCGAAAATTGGGAGCGAAAAAGAGATAATGGCCGTACCTTGGCGATGTATGAGGAAGAAAACGATGACTACGACGAACAAAGAGAGAGATCGAGCAGCGAATTTCAATGGCGAGAATGCCTTTTGTGAAGTTGCCGAAGCTAAAGGGCGCCTTTAGCAGAGTGGGTTTCTTGTTCTCCAGGTCAGTGCGTAATTGTGGGCCCCAAAGCTGTGGGCTTCTTTCCAGTTTTACTTTGGGCTCAAAAGCCCAATCCTAAGGCCGGTCGTATTCTTTTTGGGCTATCTCACCTGACCAGCTCGATTGGCCCACAGAAAAATCACTTGGCCAGAATTGGAAGGATGGTCCAGTTGGATATGAAGTACGTGAATAGGTCCAAAGCTTAATTTCATTGAAGATCTAGGAATGATTAATGTTGGAAATAAATTTAAACTTTTTGATTGAGCAATCAGATTTGGCTTTTCAGGCACAACAGTACAACTCTTTAATTCTAGAAGTAGTTTTCATGCAAAGAATGTGGACACTCACAATGTCACATGCAATCCATGACCCATCATTACGACTCATTTATACAAGTAGGGTCCTAGCCAATTTGATGCAATTTGATTAATGATAAATAAGGGGAAAAAATCATTCAACGAAATACATCACCAAAGAAGTGTTTCAGAAAGAAAAAGAAAAAAAAAAGGTAGGATATATAGAAGAGAAAATTAGTGAATTTACCTTTTAAATGTGCTGTTCTAAGATTTCTACTCTTTATTTTTTATTAATACCCTTTTGCTAATATAATTATTTGACTAAAAATATTAATCAAGTGTAAGCAGTTAAAAGACTCATATATTTTAAAGGGTATTTGTCTATTTTTCTCAATATAAAATCTCAATTTCGGCCTTATTTGGAATTACTTTTGAGATAATTGATTAATTAATATTGTGTCAAAATCACGAGAGTTATATTGCTGTGCTTTTTAAAGAATTTTTAATTTAATTCTGCTTATGTTGACGGTACAAGATAAAAGCTATAATTTTTAGTTTATAAAATTTACCGTGAAAAGGAGTTGGATTCTCTACCAATAATTTTAAGGGTCTGTTTTCGCATTGTTTTATAGAATGCTTTTAAATTGTTAAAGAATCTACAAGAGGTTGTTTTTGTCTAATTCTAAGAAACACTAGCAAGCAACAGAATTTGAGAAGTTTCTTAAGGGGGTTTTACACACTTTCTATCCACTGTTTAGATTCATTAAAGATCGTTAAGAATGACCTATACTTGAAAAGAACAAATTTTTACTAAAAAAAAATTGTAATAGTTATTCATCCATGTAACAAAGAACAAAATATGATTATTATAAATCTATACTTGAAAAGCAAAAATTTTAAAAAAAAAAAATCTTTAATAATTATTCTATACCAAAATTTTATTAGTACTTTCAGTAGTTATTACAAAAGTCCTAAAACAATAATAGTAATATAATTTTTTTTAGATATGTGTGAAATAATTAAATTAGAACTATATATTTTTTCATAACTTAGTGTACAAAATTATATAAATGTTGATCTATAAGAAATAAAAACTAAGACTTTATAAGTACAAATATGTTTATAGTTTTAGTCATCATAAAATTTTTAAAATATAATATGTCTATTTTAATTTTATACTTTTGTAAAATAATTTAATCTACAGTTTATCAAACAATTAAATCTGTTTTTATTTTTTCAATAACTTTTAAAAATATTGTAACAAAAGCTTATTTATTTTTGCCACAATAATTTTTGACTAACTACACCCTTGATAACCAATGTTTCAACAAGGCACAACACACATCAATCTCAAATTGGCTTTTGTTGACGGTATTTTTCTGACAACTCGTAATTATCTCTCCATAAACACTCACGGTGACACTCACGGTTTGATCCAAGATAAAAACTAAAAAATAATGCAAAGGGGACAGTTATTTTATAGTGGTTCGGTAATAACTCTTTGCCTAATCCACTTGTGAATGCACTAATATTCCAACCGATTACAAGCTTTTTCTTAGTAATGAAATGGTGTCTAACCCCTTTTTTGGGTGTTCTTGGCTCTATGTATAGGCCTTTACATGTGACTATGTCTTCCCCGTTCCCAAGGTGGAAGCCATCTTACGTCCTCGATACTCGGGAAGGTAGGTGGGTTTTCATGATGACTGCCCTAGGAAACGCGGCTAATCCTTCTGTTCTGCCGCCTGATTTCCTGACTCCTGCCGTAGCGGTCATATCAATATTTCCCTCCACGAGTTGACAAGACTGCTGGCGGAGAAGACTGGCAGTGCTACCTCGACGCAATGGCCTTCGGAGGTCGAGTCAATGCGCTCGACGCCTCTCGCCCCGTATGGTCTCTCGACGTGAAGGGCACATTAACTACATCCGTTTCCTTGACGCTAGCGGCCAATCCTCTGCATGGAGTCCTCGGCGTCTGTCGTTTGAGAGAGTGGTCGATCTCTCGATCATGGTGTAACAGCTTTCAAAAAAAATTGTATTAAACCAACTGCCTATAAAAGTTGCTTACTTAATACAACAAACAAAAGCAGATTTTTAAAACATCAGTTGTTACTGAGGGTTTATTCTTTTGGAATAAAACTCAAAAAAAATTTAAATTCAAGCTGCAACTTTATTTAAGTTTATGTTCGGTTGTAAAATTTGAGTTTGAACTTGAATTTTAACTTGAGTTTGGGGCTAAAATATGAGTTCAAGTCAAGTTTTTAAACTCAAACTCAAGTTAATGAACAATATTTTTTATATTCTTAAAAACGTCATTAACTTTTTCGTTTTAATTCCGATTGAGAAAATTTTTTTTCTTTGCGTTCACAATGAAAAGACGAATAAAACCCCACCTATATATCCTATTAAAATTTTTCATCACCATTGAGTTTTTATTAAAATACTATTTAAATACAATTCAAGTTTTGACCCACTCAATCACAAACTCAAATAGATTCTCAATTCAAATCATAATTCAAATGTGCACATCCAAACACAAACTCAAGTTATAACTTTAACTCAAATTTAACTGAAGATGTACACTCAAGTTACTGTAACTTAAAAAAAAATAACTGAACAAGCCTTAAAATTGTTTGAGTTTTAAGAGCTGTAAAACAATCCTCAACTGACCCTCTTTCTATTGTTCTACGCCATCAGTGTTCATAGTATTCAAAGTTCATGTCGGCAAATTAAACTCACAATCTTCCAAATCTTTGTTAAATTTTTCATTTGTCGACGGTCAATGTATCATTCCCACCAAATCGAATTCAAAAGTTCTTTTTTTTTTTCCAATAACTTGTAAACTCACGTTACTCTTGTGGGCAATCATGACAAAACCAACAATTATGGACCAAGTAAATGATGGATTCATAGCCATATAATTAACTTCTTTTTTAACACAATTTTCTCATTTTTGTCCACCCCCGTCTTTAAATGCACCACGGAAATGACAAGTGTTTATCACTTTAACACGAGTACAGTTTATGTACAGATAGAAGACGAACCCATTCCCTTTTCTTTTATTGGACAGTAATAATTTTTGAGGAGCTTTTATGATATAATCAAAAAAATATATATTCTATCAGTAATTTTTTATTTTTAAACTGTCGTATTTACATTTACAAATTATTTGTTGCGGAAAAATCCAAAGCTTGAATATTCACTGCTCACTAGAAAGCCTAGCTAGTGGCCAGGGTTCTACATGAAAGTAAATGCGGTCAACGCAAACGCAAAAGGATGTGGTGGTGTTTTTTTTGTTAGGACCACACACTCAATGATGGCATACTAGAAATTGCATGGCATTGTATGATGATGAGTTTTCTTCATCATGATGTTGTGAGTCTGTTCAGTTCGTTAATTTAAGTTTTTAATTTGAATTGAAATGTAATTTTATACGAGAGTTTTTTATTATAGTAAAAAAGTTAGATGTGATTGATTTTGAGAACTTTTTACTATAATAAAACTCAAATTTTAAACTTAAATCGGTGAAATGAACGGAGCTTAATAAACTTTGGGTTTTTTAGCACTTCTTTTTATCAGTAAAGTGAGTTTTTAATAAAAAATGTGATCATAATCATATTTAAGTTAAAAAAGTATGTAAAATATATACAGCTGAAAAAAGAACGTATTAAAATATCTCCTTATTTTAAATTGTTATATCTATTAACTTATTACAGCCAGTTAAAAGATAACTGTTAATTTGCATATAGACATATATTAGTATTATTTTAATGTAATTAATTTTAACCTAATCTAAGTTTAGAAGCTAACATTATTGGTAATCCTCACAATGAAAACTCCTTCATATGTATGTATTTAGATGATTAAGGTACAGATGTCAAGTGGTAATTGAAAGTTTTTCTACCAAAAAAATAAAACAAAGTAAAAACGTAAGTGGTAATAAATTAAGGGTTCTTTTAATTTGTTGATTTAAAATTTTAATTTGAATTAAAATGTGAATTTATGTAAAATTTTTTTACTGTAATAAAAAAGTTAAAGTTCCATTCATTTCACTGACGAGTTTAGAATTTGAGTTTTGTTATTGTAAAAAGCTCTCAGAAACAGTCACATTTAACTTTTTTACTACAATAAAAAGTTCTCACATAAAGTCACATCTCACATCAAATCACTGAACTAAACGGACTCTAAATGTGATTATTTATGAAAATTTTTTATAGTAATAAAATTTAAATTTTAAACTCAAATCGTGAAATGAACGTGGCTAATAATATTAGAGTTCACAGACATATGCATGGGTTTCGCTGCTGTTCATTTACAGGCCACGTATATTAAAGTGATAATCATGCACATTGACACCAATTTTTCTGGTTTGACACTTTGAGTTGGACGTGAACGAGCAAAGTGATTGGAATATTCACCTTCAAAACACCCCCCAAATGATAATAATTATGACTATGATAGCTCCGTTTTCAAACATTTTAACACGTTTATTCAGCCAAAAAAAAAAAAATCATTTTAACATGTTCTAGGCCCTCCTCTCTCAAGCTCGGAATAAAAACACCTTTTTGTAACGTATCACATTAGTGGTCGAGATTATTAGAGACCCCTCAACTTTGATTTTACCGTGTCCACGAAAAATAACTATCCGCTGTATTTAATTTGGGAGATTCTACAGTAG